GTTGACCATCTTCTCGCTGTTTTATTGACTAAAACAAGGTTCTAAACGACCGTTCTATCTTCACTATACCGTACGTTAGTAGGTACTAGAGATAGTTACCATAACTATCTATATATCTCTAACTACTTCTTAAATATTATACTACTTCTTTTCTTTTAAGGCTATTATTATAATATTTATTTTAATTTAATAATTATAATAGTATATATTATTAAATTTAAATAATCCTTCTTAAATTTTAAAGTTATTTTAAAAACTTAAAATAATCTTAAAGAAAAAAAGGTTATAAAAGTAGAAATAAACTTATTAAAAAGGTTCCTTTCTTTTAAGTAACTCTTTTTTTATTCTCTTATAGTTACTCTTTTATTTAAGTATATTAACTAATTAAAAGAGATTCCCTTTCTTTTCTTTTCTATTAAGTCTTTTTTAAGTTTTTAACTTTTATTAACTCTATTAACTTAAATACTTTTAATAACCCTACTTTTAAATCTTTAAATATAATTAATTTTAATTAATTAACTTAAAGGAGGAAGGTAGAGGATTTAGTTAAAGTGAAAGAAAAGAAGAAAGGAAGGAAGGGGAAGAAGTACTCCTTTACTCCTTATATAAAGGAAGGTATAAAGGCTTCTTTATAACTACTTCTTCTTTTAATAACCGTCTTTTTTATAAGTCTATTTAATTATAAAAAAATTACTAAAAAGTTAAATAATTATCTATACTATAAGGCTATTATTTATATTAAATATATTTAAAGTTAATTTTAAAGAGATAATAGTTAAATAGGTAAATAAATATTATAGTAACTATCTCTAGTACCCACCAACACACAGTATGGTAACGCAGCACAAGGAGAAAGCAGTTCAGATCAAGAAAAGACCTCCAATCTTTTAATAGATTAAAGTGAGAAGATCGTTGAGCGAGGGACGACCAACTCAACGTCGTCAAGGTTTCACGAAAGTTGTTTCTCTTGTTCCTCTTCCCTTCTCGACCCTTACTACTTAAGTAATTAGCACGTCTCCCTGCCCGGCTATGGCCTGGCGCGTGGATTCTTGGCACTAAGCCCGGGACGACTTGACGTTCACATGTGACGGACCGGAGATGGGTGAGCACAAGGCCAGGCACTGTACTGTCCAACCCATCAGCGGGAAGAAGCCAGACGAAAAGCTCTGTAGAATGTGCCTCTGCTCGGGTCTTTCCCTAACTTCTAGACTTTAGCCCTCACGGCGGGCTGGCACATTCAACATTTCGACTAGCTGTACTGTGACTCCGGATGGAGAAAATGAAGTCCTCACCAAGCCATTTTCTGCCCGTAGCCACCCCCGGGTTTGTGATGGAATGGCAAAGCAACAAAACAATCCAACCTCATGCTTAGCCGAACTCCCAAAGTTGCGCGCCACTCCCTGCCAGGCTGGCTGCGGCTCTGACCGGAATCACTGCTCCCAATCTTTGAGCTGGCACCGGAATCTCTGCCCCTGGCGGGTGGTACCAAGCAGCCGCGTGAAGCGTCCCCTCCAAGAGAGCCGATGATAGGAACCAGCATGTAATGAGTCTCGCCAGGAATGGAACTGCGTGGCCGAAAAGAAAGTTGGGATCCGATTAACGGATCGGACACTGGGAGGTGTCCCTACAGATGGACAAGCTGAAACGGTCGTAGCGCGGATTAGGGGGCAGTACTTCCCAAATACCTTCTCGAAGAAGACGACGTATGCTCCGTCTTCGCCCACCACCGGGCCTCAGGCAGATAGTATGGCCTAGTGACCGTTGTCGAAGACCTGCAGAGGTAGCGATTCGGTACTCACGGGCAGGGAGCCAGGGGCTACGCTAGACGCTCCCGCGTACCCCAGTCTTGCCCGGCCCCTGGGAAATCAATCATTGTCAGGAACAGATCAAACAAAGCCGGACGGACATCCCTGCAAATTCCACCTTCCCAGGGTTGTCGGAGCCGCCTTGCGTCTGAACATGTTGGGCGGTGGTTATCCTTCCTGCGGTTATGTCAATTCTGCATCGATATTTGTTCCTTCAGAAGCATCGCCAGGGGCTTTGCACGTCATCATGTAGGTCATGCGACTTTTGAAGCTCATGTGGGCTTGACTCCAGCTCCGTTCCACATCGGTACCTGCGCCCCCCTGGTGTTGTAGGCGTTCCTGAATCTTGATTCCCATCTCGCGGCTGCTTTCTGCTTGATTCCACCGCGGAGGAGCTACTCCAGCATTCACTGAGAAGTGCTTCCCACGTATTCCATACGCAATTGCCCTGGTGACTTCCTACCCTAGGTAGGCAATTGCTTGTACTTGTCGAGTCATGGAATGATGGGCCCCTCAGTAAACAACAACCACACAAGACTACCTATGGACACAAAGACCACAAAGAGTCGTGATGGTCACGTTCTTTGATTTTGAGATATGCCATAAAATTATAAACAATAGGTTCAATCAGTATCCTTCGTTGCCTTATCACGCGGCTTTCCAACTCACGTCACGGGCGGTAAAAAGCAATACCGCTTAATCGTGAACAATCCTCGACACCACCTGCCCAACTCATAGAAAACGATACCATAAAGCAGTCATGGACAGGTACGATAAGTTTGCCCTCCGTTAACACATAGGCCCTGGTTTCTTTGCTCCCTACGTCTCCCGCCGAGATGCCATACAGCCACTCCCTCCGAGACCTCTAGCTACCCTCCGGGACAGCTATCCAATCCTGACCACCCCCCAGGCTAACCATTAATTCTTTGACAGGCCCAATTGGCTGCGAGATCAGCTCTTGGGCAGGTGGATGTGGCCCGTCGTGTGCGCACTCTTGGTCTTCTCCACCATTCCAGCGTGCGCGACGGTCATGTCCCCCGAGGACAAATCAAAGAGGATACTCAACGCCTCGAGTTCACTGTTCACGGCCGCCCTAACGACTTACCTCGGCCTCATCCCGCGCAGTGCGACAGAAAACAGATCAATACCATCTATGATCTTGTTTATTCTGGCCCTGTCATTCTCCTTCCTCGCTGCCGTCACGGCGGTCGTGCTGGCCTGTTTCGACGGCCCGGCCGAGGCAGAGGCCTCGGCTCTGATTCAGGTCTTACTGGGACCTATGCAGAATTATATATTCGCTGCCACCCTTGCTACCCATGTGGTTGGTGGCGGCGGCGATGGCCGAGCGGAAACTGTCTAGACCGAGGCTGTTGTTGATGGATGGGAAACGAAACTATGTGTCGGGGTGCAAAGAGCTGGCACGCGCACTTTTTCGAAATGCTTCATATGGATTGCACGAGATTTGGAATGGGAGACACGTATTCCGGCATTTCAGAGCACTTTTAACTTTAATGTTATACTTTTAGTCCCTTTATCTTAGTTCGAGTCATCGGTACATATTCATAAAAATTTTAAACCTCATTGATGTGGTATTTTGTCAAAAGAGAGGCTTCAACTTATCCTTGACAAAGAGATTGCAAGTGTGGCAGACAGGATCTCGTGGTCATCTGGCTGAAGACATTAGGCTCCCGTCAAGAGCGAAAGACTCGTATGTTTATACATTGGCTACACAAAGCATGAGCCTTTACTGAATCTATTTGTGACTCACCCTGCCCGCAATGTGGAGCCATCCTTGGAAGGGAGACTAATGTTGACTGATATCGTGCACAGTTCGAAAACACTTTGCGAAATTTTAGTGCTCGCCTACTAGTTTCTGATAACAATCTAAATGCCCACATTACCTGTGAAGCTTCTCAATACGGGCAGACCTGAAGTTGAAGGTGCACAAATCCACATACAGGAGCTCTGCGTAAGGATATACACTGTGAGTCACGCGGTATTGTGGTGCGTGAACTGAGCCGATTTGAGGTAACAGTTGAGGTTGTTGTCCCATATGACGCCGTCTCATATGAAACCTCTGCCGATACAACATCAGACTCTAGTCTGCGTACAGCAAGAGCTTTCGTGGCATGGTCTTGCAGATTAGCTGTGACAAGACTGTTAGACGAGCGCTTAGACCAATACCCATCGCCTATTATACACTGTGGCGTCTGAAATTGCCACTAGAAATTAATTGCCTTCATTATAGGATGCCAAATATGGGTAGGCGTACAGACATGTGTACGGAATTCTGTTGGATTGTGGCGATCACCACACAGGCGGAAATTGGCAGGGGCAGAGACGCTACATATGTACCACAATATGGAAAGCAACCAGATTCAAACTTCGTAGGCTTTGCTATGGTGTGCTCGGGCTGTTGAAATTAATAACAAAGTCGATTGGCCACCCCTAAAATTCGTGCCAGATGGAACATGAACGCCCTGCAGACACCAAGAACCACAGTCTTCCGCGATGGCTGATAACGACCCCATAAAAGAATCTATGAAACTGTCGCCCGCCCTCGAAGAAACGCGAGGCATTGTACAGAATGCTCCTGTATCAGGTCCACGACCCACGATACGAGGCGCAAAAGCTATGGTGCGCTTACCCGCCATGAGTGTCCATGGCCCCCTTTCCACTTGCAATTCTCAATGAGCAGGAGATAGCTAACCAATTATTGTTGCGTACTGAAAGGCTGGAGGAACCCCGACAGAAAAGGGGGAGCCTGAAGAAGATGGGCCAAAGGAGAAGGAGCCCAGTCTCAAGATCATGGTCGACCTGGACCTGAGAGTTAAGCTTAAGGTCGAGCTGGACTTGGAGGTTCATGGCACAGTGCATATCGGTTTGCTGTAGGCGCTCCAGCTCTATTCTGATACTTGAGTTGGGCAATATTGTGACGATAATGTATCAAGTAGTTCCTGAAAGTGATATTTCGTTCCTCATCGAGGCCCATTGAAAATCAAATTTCGGGAGCAGCGCGAGAGGGGATCGCCGGGAATTGCTTGAACGAATGAAATTTCCAGCATAGCATGACTGCAAGAATTTCTTTGTACGCTTGGTTGTGACAGTTATCCGGACATCTTTTTCAAAGTCGCTGCTCACATAACGGGACCCTCAACTAGAGCGCAAAAATGAGCTTCCAATATCAATTCCCAACTACTCGTTTTCATGTGTCCGTTGTCCCCTCCCAGCCTCCTCGTCCCTTAAACCGCGGCTCCTCAGTGGCTCCCGCCGACAAAGCAACACCGCAACGCTCCGCACTGCCCGGCCCTGAAGGCCATAATTGTTCCGGTCGAAGTACAGCGCCCACGCGCCGGGGTGTGCCTCTGGCTCGTCCTCCACAGCGAGGAAGCCCTCCCACCCTTCGAAGGTGACGCGCCGCTCGCGCACAGTGCAGTCCCATGGCCCGAGCAGGTGGCCCGCGGACTCGGCGCGCGAGCCATACTTGACCTCGAACGTATCGCGGTCCACGTAAATCCAGTTGAGGTCAGGGGGATCGTCACGGATTGTCGAGACCAGACCCTCGCCCTTGAGGCCCTCGCGCGCCCACTGCTCCTGGAGAACGGGATGTGGTAGGTAAAAGCCCGAGAACAGGTGGCCGTTGGTGTTCTGCTGTGCTTCTGTGTCCTTGTCTGAGGCGATGCTAGGACCTTGCGTGGTTTGATCTTGGTTACCTGCGTGTGCATCGGGAACTGCCTCCACGTACAGCTTGTTGGCCCTCAGTACGACTTTGGCGCCTTCAAAAAGGGTACTGTACGGGCCTTTGCGCTCGAGGGTGACGGCCAGGTTACTTCTGCGCCCGCGGTGCTGTTTTCTCGTATTCTGACGCTGCCCGTGCTCGATCGCCTGCGTTGTGCCAATAATGGTCGGGACAGTGCCGACCGCTGTTAGGAGGGTGATCATATTCGAGTCGAGGTACGTACGTCGTGGTGGTCTGGAGTTCACGATCTCCAAACTGGGGGCGAAAGATTTCCTTGAACGCTTGACACTTGCCTAAATTTAAAAATGCAGCTCACCCAAGATGACGACTCGTGCGGAAACTGCGTCATCCTACTTGCAAGTCTGGGCGGATTTCAGATCTAAGACAATGATCGTACGCGCACTGAGGAGTCACAGTACTACAAAGACACCCGAGACAAATATTGGTACTGCCAAACCGGCACCGAGTTGTTGATGAGTTCTTGTGCCATTGTAACAGTTGTGATCCAAGCTACACAGAGGAAATGCTGTGGTCGGCGAGCTGTCCACCCAAGTCGTCGGCCAACGTAAGTGAAACGGCAAGCTTGAAATTTCAGGCCGCGTATCGAGGCATTCTACCTTGCAGAACCTTATTGATTTATAGTTGAGCATTTCCTGAGCCCGGCCTTGACCAAGATTCAGAGTTGTGCAGCCAATGCCGTGCTATCACCGTGGCTGTATTTAGGTCTCCTGAGAGATCGATGGTTGACCTCAGCCAGCATTGACTCCCGTGATAGTGAATATGAGTGGGTTTAATGAGAAATATTGTTAGTAGCTCAGGTCATGAGAATTCGCGAAATATCTCTTTAGATCCCTGACCTTCGGGGAGTGGATGCATCTAACAAGGTTTGAAGGACATGTTTTAGTGTTTCAGATGTCTTCGGCCTGCGTTGAGTAGTGACTAAGTTCTTCTGAGGCACTCGGTCTCGTCATGCGCGCAACCGGTATCATCAAAAATATGCCGTGACCAGCGAATTGTGAATCTTTCAAAAAGGGGTTAGTGGTAGAGGTTCTTGATCAGTGACTGCAATGTCGATTGAGGCACATATCAGTGAGACCTATGATTGAGTGCTTAAATAATGGCGTAGAGCCTGTGTGAGCTTTCGCTAATAGACAAGATCCCTATGACTGACGTACGATATGCCATGAAGCGTCAGTGACTTTGCTGCCAGCCTCAACTACCCAGTCACCCACGATGGTCACTGGACTCCACGACCCCTCAAATCTGCTAGTAGATATGAATGTTTGTCTGGGTAAATCTACGTACGTTCCCTGTATATTTTCATGTTCTTGAATGGAAACTATTATGACCGCAGTGAACGTTGTGGGGAACCACAACTCCCGTAAGAACTGCCAGTGAATTTCCTCTGGTAGAGGATCTCGTTTGACGGGCTTGGTGATTCACAAGAAATGCTGAAGCCTCCTGCCTGTAAATACATACTACTAATGCTCATCACGAGTTTCACTGGTCCCTATGATGCACGCTCTCGTCTTTACAATTTTAAGCGTCATGGCCCCGTCGACTCTACTCCTTGTGTATGTGTTGGAAGCCAGAGTAAGTCACCATAACATTCGTGACTGAGTCTTCATCAGAAGTCATGAATTTGATTCTCTTGAAACCCTATAATATAGTCACAATTATTGTCGATTCAAGGTAAGTACTAGGCCTATAAAAGGAAACGGAGTCTTTACCCTTGCTCGCGTCTTGGAGTGCTTGATTCCAGCTCAAGCTCAAGCAATCATCACGAAACAAGAAACCAGTTTGAACACAAAATACCCAACCTGAATTGCAACGTCAAAATGTCGATGCCTGCAGGAAAGAACCCGGGCGGATCTGGCTACGGCGGGTCTGGCGGTGGTGGATCCAGAGAAAAGCCACCCCAGGACCCCTCGATCCCTCGATCTGGGCCTTGGCAAGACAAGCCTCGCACCGAGTCGCAGTATGAACAGGAGCAGCCTCGGCCTGGATGTTTGAAGGGTAGTTGCGAGAGGAAGCAACACGAACCCTCGGGTGACAACTACACATACGCAAAGTCGAGGTGATTTGCGAAATGATTTCCGAAGACTTTGACTCTGAGGCGCTGCAATTGCCAAAAGTTCAGCTCCGTTAGCCAGAAGAGAGGAGATAGAATTGCAAAGCCTCCCATACTTCTATTCATTGGAAATCTACGGTGAACGAATGAATGAGCCGATTCACAATAAATTTTCCCTTGTGAGATCAGCTGCCCGTAGTCTACCCACAGGTGCAATGCCATAAGAGGATGCTTGAGGAGGATCTCCGCCCAGACAGGCACAGCACTACAGAGAGGATCTTTATTTTAGCAGGGAGAATTGAATTACCCCACAACGCTTGCTTCCTCCAAAATGGATCCTATTTCCTGAGCTGCTGTAAAACTGATTTAGGGTCAGGTTACTAGGGATGCTAACTCCAAAAACTCTAATGATGTTTCTTATGCGGAGATCGCTTTCTTGATGGCATCCACGACACCATCGATGTCCGTGAGATGCGGGCAGTGACCAGTCGCGAGCTCGAACACCTGTACCTTGCGGCCAGCCTTCTCCATCTCCTCGATGAAATGCTGCTGGTAATGGACAGGCACCGTCATGTCGTTTACAGTCTTGATGTACGTCACATCCACCTCGCGCCACGCGGCGTGCTCGCTGGCGTGGTACATAGAATTCCCATGCCAGCGCACAAGGGTCTTGAGGTAAGCCTCCACCTCCTCCTCGCTCGGGCCGGGACCAATGATGAGCTTCTTGGGGTCAGTGCTGACGCAGGTCCCATCGTCGGCGAAATCAAAAGCGATCGGGACCAGATCCATATGCCCGAACTCCTCGACCTTATCCATCATCTTCACACCCTCGGGGACGGCGTACCCGGCCATGTAAATAATGCGGGACACGCCGCCCTTCAGCCCCGCGGCGGAGCGTGCCTCGACGCCCAGCCCGTGGAACGCGTTAGAGGCCACGTGTCCGCCGTACGAGTGCGCGATGGCTGCTACCTTACGCCCTGCGCGCACCAGACTCTCTGCGTAGCTCCGCACGAGGGCCGTGTCGTCCTTCAGGCCGGCGTTGGGAGGGCGGGCCCCGTTTGTGGATGGGAGCTGCGGGCAGTGTACCTCGAAGCCGGAGGCCTCGAGGGCGCCGGTGAGCTTCGAGTAACTGGCTGGGGTGTGCCAGCCCCCGTGGACGATCTGGTGGATTCAGGTTAGCTGGATGTGTTCTTGACAATGCTAGGCCGTGAGGGACCATGCGTAATACCAGGATTGTGGGCTTGCTCGTCGCCATATTGGTTTTGATGGACTCGGACTTTACAAGAATTGGAAGGGCGGGGCTGAGAGAGGAGATGCGATTATTAGAAGAGGGGACTCTGAACCGCCGTAAAACCTAGATGAAATGAATGGTGGATTCCAGAGAGAATCGATATGGATGAGTTGCAACTTCGAGGGTTCCCAATTTTTAGATGCTTCGAAGTTCTGGTTCGAACTCTGACCCCAGGTTAACTAGTACAAGTGTATATACCTGGTATAACGTTGCATTTTGTAGCTATCGCTAATGCTGACCGTCAGCGACTGCGGGACCAACAGGTACAGGAACCAGAGCAGACCAAGTCGCTTCCAACATCCTGAGTAGGCCCGCCCCACAGGCAGACGTACACAGACTGGATCTCTAATTCGCTGGCAGGATTATGTGCGAGCATGGCGCTGACAACCTCAACGAGTTGGCGCAGCTAGTGTGGCTCGGCATAAGCACGCGCTACACAAATCCTCCACTCCTCAAGTGCCTTCGGAAAGCTGCCGACCGGCCGTGGTCGCGAGGAGACACAGACACGCGGCCTGTTGGTGTCCAAGCGTAAGATTATTTTCGGATAGGCCTGTGGGAATGAGGAACCTTACATATTATGGGTGATCCCATGGAGCTCACATCCGAGAGAGATCATCCTCCGGGCCACCGGTGCCGAAGGAATTCTTCTACCGGGGTTGCAAGACAGACATAGCAGTACGGGGGCAACAACCACTTTTTCTTTTCCAGTCACTTGAAGACAAGAGATTGAGAGACCCATGGAGAAGCTGGTAATTATTACATAGAAACTAGGCTTTGGAGAATTAAGACGCCGTCACAGTGACCTCGGCGCCATCGAGCCCCTCTGCGCTCGCCTTGACCGTGATGTCGCCACTTCCTGTCCCCTTCACAATAGCCAGAGCATATCCATTGAAGGCATCGCGCACCGTGCTCGGGAAGACGGTCATGTCAGTGGGGTTACCGTTGTCCGTGGCAACAATCTCGCCAGGACCCTCCACCGTGAACGTGATCTTGTTCTCTGCAAACGGCACCCGGTCGCCGTTCTCGTCAACCACCGCGATCGAAACAAACGACAGGTCATACCCGTCACCCGCGATGGCAGTGCGGTCGGCAGTGATGTTCAGCGAGGTCGCGGCACCGACGGTCCTGACCTCCTCCTCGGCCCAGACCTCCCCGCCCTTGTACGTCACAGCCCGCAGGCTACCGGGGGAGTAGGTGACGTTGTCCCACCGGAAGCGGTACTCGCCCTCGGGCTTGGGGATGCGACCAGCCGACTTGCCGTTCACAAACAGCTCCGCCTCATCGGCAGACGAGAAGACATGGACGGGGGTGACGAGGCCCTCACGCTGGCCGTCCCAGCTCCAGTGCGGGAGGATGTGCGCGCTGCGGACCTCGGGCGCCCAGCGCGCCTGGTACAGCCACCAGCGGTCCTTCTTGAAGCCGGCGATGTCGATGATGCCAAAGTACGAGCTGCGGGCCGTGAACTCGTCCCCGTCGTAGGGGGTGGGCTCGCCGATGTAGTCCCAGCCGGTCCAGACGAACTCGCCGGCCGCGAAGGGCTGGTACCGGTCCTGCTGCGCAAAGACCTTGTCGGCCGAGGAGCCCCAGTAGGGCCCGTAGAGCTCGTACGCGCTCACGCGCTGCGAGGTGCTGTTGCCGCCGGAGCCGTCGAAGACGTCGGCCGACTGGTTGCCGACCACGGGGAAGATGTAGGTCTCGCGCGAGCTGAGCGACGAGGCGGACTCGCTGGTCCAGAGGAGCTTGTCCGGGTACGTCGAGTGGAAGCGCGGGAAGCTGCCGTCGTAGCTGGCGCCGCGGCCCTCGCCCTGGTAGTTGAGGGACTCGACGTCGAGGACGTTGGCGAGGGCCGAGCCGGGCTGGGCGTTGTTCAGGGCCGAGGTGATTGGGCGGGTGCCGTCCTCGGAGTCGACAATGTCCTTCAGCATCTGGCCTGTGGCGCCGCCCTCGGCGGTGGACTGCTCCGGGATCTCGTTGCCGATGCTCCACACCATGACGGAGGGGTGGTTGAAGTCGCGGCGGATGAAGGATCGCAGGTCGGCCTCGTGCCACTCGGGGAAGAGAAGGTGGTAGTCGTTGTCGACCTTGGCGCGGTTCCAGACGTCGAAGGCCTCGTTGATGACCAGGAAGCCGAACTCGTCGGCGAGGTCGAGGAGCTCGGGGGCAGGAGGGTTGTGGGACATGCGGAGGGCGTTGGAGCCGAGCTCGCGGAGGTACTCAAGCTGGCGCTCTGCAGCACGGTAGTTGAATGCGGCGCCGAGACTACCAAGGTCGTGGTGGTTGTTGGTGCCCTTGACGTAAACCCGCTCGCCGTTCACGATGAGGCCGTCTGAGGTGTATTCTAGAGTGCGGATGCCGAACTTGGACTCGTAGGTGTCGAGGACTGTGTCTCCAGAGGATACGGTCGTGACGGCAACATACTGGTTGGGTGTACCAGAGGGAAGCACGCCCCATAGCTGGGGGTTGGCGATACTCACTGTGCCGTTGGAGGTTGCTTTGCCCTGAGCATCAATGTCGACCGATGCCGTGGGGAAAGTGGCTACAACTTCATCGGACCCAAGGAGGTGGACCTCAGTGGCGATCTCGACAGTCTGGGCCTCATCCAGCTTGTTCTCGATCTCAACGACCAGGTCCACTGTGGCAGAGTCGACCGAAACACTAGGCGTCCTAATCTTGGTGCCTGACTGCGCGACGTGGACTTTGGAAGCCTTGACAATCCACACGTTGCGGTAGATGCCAGCGCCAGGGTACCAACGAGAAGACTCTATCTGGTTCTCCAGGCGCACGGCAAGGATGTTATCTTCTCCAGCCTTGACGTGATCTGTAAGGTCGACCCGGAAGGAGGCATAACCGTATGGCCAACCGCCAACGAGCTCGCCATTGACCCAGACGGCTGCATGCGACTGCGCGCCGTCAATGTCCAAGTAGAGGGATTTGGTGCCATCGACGTCGGCCTCGGTGAAGGTCAGGTTGCGGCGGTACCAGCCAATTCCATTGGAGGGGAGACGACCCATGCCGCCACTGATGCCCTCGGCGAGGAAGGGGCCCTTGACCGCCCAGTCGTGGGGCAGGTTCAGCTGCTCCCATGAGGAGTCATCGAAGGAGGACTGGACGTACACGACGTCCGCTCCGGGAGCAGTGCTGTTGGAAGGGTAGGGGTACGGCGTGCCGTCCACGATGAAGTCGTTGGCTTGTGGCAGGATCCATGGCTTGAGGGTTTCATTGTAGGACAGCCCGTCGGGATTTTCCTCGAACCGCTGGAACCTCCACGCGCTGTTGATGTTGGTGCGCTCACGGACTGATGTCGACTCGGCCCTCGGGACGGCCAGGGCCTTCTCAGCAGGGTGTGCGCCGACTGGGAGCGACCATAACGGCAGGACAATTGACGCCGCGAGAAGCCCGCCGACGTTGCCCGCAGCTCGGAGAACTGAATGCATGGTGGACGGTATGAACGAAGGTATCCCACCACTTCAGGTGCTCTCTCGCTCTCTCGCGTGATCGACCGTCTTCAAATACTGCGCCGGAGCCGACGGGCATCTCATATCTTATAACCGGCGGGCAATCGCTCGTGAGTCGCGTCATAATTCGTCTGCTACTACTGATAATAGCCGCTCGCGACAAGTCTCCCCCGAATATTGTGGACCTGATGGGGTTGTATGCCCTGGCCCAAGGGTTGAACGCAACGTTGCCAACTGATTGCAACGGTCTTCCCTGCTCCCCCGCATCCTCGTGGTGGGAATCATTATGGGTCGTGGTGGAGAAAGATGGCCGCTTTCTGAACCTGGAATGCTTATCACGACATCGGGCGACGAATATGGACTAGGCCGGTCCTGGACGCAGGTCCCGCTCGCTCCCGAGGCCCTTGGCGAGAGGCATGGATCAGTCCGTCAGCAGGAAATTACTTGTATGCCAAGGCCTCAGTCGTAATTCGGCAGATGGCAATTCTCAGCGAAGGCTCCTACGTAGAAGCAAGCCCTGATGGCCTGCAGATGCTTGAGCACAATGGATGTGGACACAATGATGCTGGTAGTAATGAGTGGCCGGAAACAGCTGGCCCACACTGGCAACGTATTAGTGACAGGGGGGCGACTCTATCTCACTCTGTGAGAAAATAAATGCAGTTACATTAAGTAGAAATACCCAGATAAATAGGTTACTTCTAGTAGACCAATAGTGATAAGATAGTAATCAAGTTACTAGGAGGAGAGTACCATTTTAAATTTAGAATGATGTATTCGGATTGGTTGATGGGGTCATACTGTATGCCCTTTTCACGCTAACAAATGAGACGGACCCGTGGACTGCCGCGCCCTAGACGACGCCCCGGCCAAAGGACCACAACTCCAAGTTTTCTAGACTTGCAATTCAGCAGTTATAAGCCCGCGCCGGTACGGTCACAACAAAATGAAATTGAACATTTGGTTGGAATATCTCACGAACCGAGCGAGCCAGTCAGAGCACGCCAGTTGCTGGTCAGTGCCTCCTCCTCGCACTCCGAGTCCAAAGAACCTCCTCCGTTTTGATCCAGCTCACTGCCGGGTCACCAACTGCCCCATGAATTGATTTCCATCTGGAGCCGGCGCACGAATTCTTGTCTGTGCTGCATGATCTGCAGTTGCACTCGCAGCCACTGCGCTCTCCTCTCCAAACGCGCCACCCACTCTTCCAGCACTTGCCTCTCCCTGAGCAGTTCCTCCCTATCGACAGACAGGGCATCTGCACTCATTTGCAGCTCTTCTTGGTCCCAGCCCACTGGGCGCGCCTCGTTGACGATCGGTTTTAGGGGCTCACGTCGCGGTCTAAGTGATGGCATCTTGTCGTTTTCTTTTTGGGTTTCTTTTTTGGCCTTGTGAATCCTAAGAATCCTTGCGTTGTGGTGCTCAGGTGTATTTATTGCGGCGCGATAGTGTTGCTACTTAAGCTGTAGGTGATGATGAAAGATTATGGATGACAGAAAATTGGAACTGAAAAAAATCAGGAATCCGAGGGTTGTCTTTGGTATTTAAATCTGGTATTCTAGTCTTCGTAAAACTAGGTACAGCTAGTGTGGTGCAAGTGCAGCTTTACCCTCCTGCAAATCACGCGGTGTTGGATGCTAGAGGAACAAGCACTCAAAATAGTCATACTACTAGATGAATCTGACTTTTAGGCCTTGGCTTTCTGTAGTGACAAAAAAGCTAGCGTCCAATTTTGTTCAAATTGTCGACCCTCTAGGGGGATCACACGCAAAGCACCGGGGTTTTAGACGGGCACGAAAACCAATGTGTAATGTTTTTTAACATCATCTTCTTGAGATAGCTTCATGACCAGTACCGTAGCGCACCGCATAATATCCGTAACGGGGCTTTGTTCCGCGCAGGATGGAGCGTGAACCGTGGATCCATACCCTGAAAGATTTTGCTCCTACGTGATCTCTGTTTTCGTTATTACTCTGCCCAGCATACATTATATTATGGGGGTAGTCTCGAGGCCTCTACGAGAGTACGACTGATAAATAACATATAACAATAAAGTGAGCCTAGCTACCCTAACTCCCTTTACCCTGTTAGGCTAGGGATGAAAGTCGAAGGAGTAAAAGGCGATGTTAAGGTCTAGGACGCACATAGAAGTATAATACTCATAGAATAATACTAAGTTTAAAATAAAATTTCAATATAAAGTCTAATCTAATCTAATTTAATCTTATCTTATTCTATTTAACTTTATTAGCTGGTCATTTATATTTTTTTCTTCCTTTCTTTTTATACTCCATACTTTCTTTTTCTTTATTCTCTTCTTTATATAAATTAATTATAAATAAATGTTTTTATTATAATATAATATATTTTAAAATGATTTTAGTTTAACTAGTTATAGCGGAATTACTTACACATATTATACTATACTAAATATACTAGGGGTAGTAAGCGGCAATACTGTCTGCCTGTGACGACTGCTCGCTTGCGCGTGGCACCAGGCTTACTCAGCGTTGGCCACAGTAAGGATGGCAGAAAATCTCGCCCCCGCTCGAAAGATTTATGGCACACTCATTTGCCGTCACCATGCCTTTCAAACTGTTTCACGGCGAATCTGTGGACGATTCAGCCCGGTGGTGTCCTGTGTGTTTCTATCTTGACTACCAGAACCTCAAAACATTCTTTGGAGCGGACAAGAAGTTGGAAAACACGAAAGCCGATCCGGAATACGTGGCCAAGGGGACACTGACTGGTTACCACCTTTGGTGGCGCGGGCGGCCAGATTTCCAGCAGCGCGCGGAGCAAAATGCGTGCGTGTTCTGTGCAGTCCTACTCCAGATTGTCGACCGCTTTTGGAAACGACAAGAATCAGGACGGCCCATTGACAAGTTCCTTATATACGGCTTGAATGTCTTCACAGATGGTAGTGTGGAGTTATTTTCGATGCGAGACCTGCCTCGCCGCCCTCTAAGGCTGCTCCTTTACAAACCCCCAGGTACTATTCATATTTCCGCTGTTCTTGGCTTAAGACTGTAAATTTGAAGAAGACCAAACGTTATGCACAACTCCAACTAACAGATGATTGATGCATCGTACAGGACATCCACCACCATGGGGTCGTTTACCCGCGGCGCCACACATCAGCCCATCTGGCAATTCTAAGCAAGCGCTTCAGTTTCTCCGAAGACAACTTGAGATCTGCTCCCAGGAACACGAAGAATGTAGGCACGACTTTCCTGTGCTCCCTACGCGAGTCCTGGATGTCGGGACCCTTGAAACTGAGCTGAAGATCAAGCTTGTTGAGCCCTCTTCAGGGACAATAGGCCGGTACATCGCTTTAAGCTACTGTTGGGGAGACGGGAGCTCTCTTCAAGCCACCAAATCTAATTTGTCCGAGCTCCTCCAGGGGGTGGATGAGGAGGAGCTCCCGGCGACCATTCGAGACGCTGTAGAACTGGCTAGGCAGATCAGGGTGCAGTACCTTTGGGTCGATGCCCTGTGTATAATCCAAGACGATTTACAGGACTGGATCCATGAGTCTGCCAGAATGTCGGCTGTCTACGCTCAGGCTCACTTGACCATCTCCGCCTCGTCCGTGGCTTCTTCCAGGCTCTCATTTCTGCACCAAAGCCGCGGAAACAAGGAAGTTTTGTTCCATTGGCAGTCACATGTGAGCGATACCAGAATTAATGGTACCGACCATGCTGTCGACACATCGCTAGTCCGAAGCGGCATGCTGGCTGTGCGGAGGACCACGAGCTCCGGCTTTCACCAAGATCTCTATGATAATATAATAGACCCTGCTATGACTCGTGCGTGGACACTGCAAGAACACGCTCTGGCGACCAGGCTGGTCTGCTTCTCAACCGACGAGATTCAGTGGACTTGCCGGACGCTTCGCGCCTGCGAATGTCAAAACCCGGAGGAAAACGAGTCCTCGCGCCTGGAACAGTTACAGCGCCGCTTATCCTTGACCGGGCGCGAAGGAAATGTGGCGGCAGTACGAGCCGATAATATGAGCCAGGAGGCCCTGCAATTTTGGATCAAACTAATCGAGGCATATTGCCGTCGCGACCTCAGTTGTGTGCGCGACAAGCTGCCGGCACTCTCAGGCGTCGCACAAGAGTTTTTGAAGACTTCGATCAAGGAACAGCTTGCTGAAAAGATGATGGTACCGCCATTACGGTATCTAGCAGGTCTGTGGAGTTTTGATATCCAAAAAATGTTGTTGTGGTACCCCCACCCACAGGGCGGCAGTTTCGTAGAATATCGCGCACCGAGTTGGTCATGGGCATCGATCGATGGAAGCATACGGAACGCTCCGATATACTGGGTCCTAAGACCACGCGCTGAGGTCCTTGCCGCTGCGTGCACACCGGCAAACTCGGATGACCCATTTGGCCAGGTGGTACGAGAGGGCACATATTTACGGCTCCGCGCGACACTTGTTGAGACGCAGATGTGGTTCAGCCCCCAATCACAGGGCCGGGAAGCCGAGGTAACGACCCCATATGGGTGGGTGATTGTTGATGGGGATCTTGAGGAAGTCCCAATCAATGAAGCCGTCTGGGGGAAAAGCAGCGCCGCCACCGCCACAACAGCAGACGACGATATCGCTGTCACGCCAGACCCTTCGCGAACCAGAACATTGCAAAGGCGACCCCAAAAACTCCAACAAAATCTGCACCTAGCGGAGAGGAGAGAGGTAAACCGCGTGTTATCAAGGTATGAAGGTGGATCAGAAGAGGAATTCGATAGTGCCAGTCATGGGCGACAACGTTTTATCGGGAAAGGGTCTAAACCAGGCACAAAATTCACCGTTTGGCTGCTTCATGTAGCGGACGACGATCTCCACCTTATGATCCACAGCGCACACTTATTGGTGCTGGGCAGGCCGGCAGGGGACGAGGAAGTGTATGAACGGCTTGGATACCTGAATTTCTATCGCATGGACAAGTGGGCAGTGGAATTTGCGGGACAAGCAAAGTCAATCGTTACTATCGTGTAGAGCGGAAAGCCTTGTCCGGCCGTTTTAGTGAAAACCCTAAAGGTCCAAATCGAACACCAAGATCAAGACCTGCCGGTGCAGCTGAGGAATCCTCGATAACTCCAATTCTGACGCTGAGCATCGGGCTTCAAGTTAATGTTACTAGTAGTCACAATCACATGCAAGCATAGATGAAGATACCATACTTAAAAAATTGGTTTCGTGGTGGTTAGTCCACCTCCGGTAATCCATTCAATGCTGTGCCTCAAGGTCTACCACTCTTGTGCTGAAGAAGTGTCAAGGGCAAATATGACAGAATCGTAAGATGCAGGCGTCATAGAGTCGAGCAACACTCGAAATATCAGCTCGGGCTCATTCTCTAGAGCTCTAAGGTTGGGGACTTGATTTCAAATCACTAATTGGTGGTGAAGCCGCACAAGAAGAGCTACGATCTTACAAAGTTCATAATTACATATGCATGAGTAAGGGTCCTCCCTCAAGGCTTCTTTCATCCCCTTTCCCATGAGAACAAGACATAAAGCCGGGCAATGATAGCAGTGAGTATGAGGAGCATTGTTGCCTGGCCAAGATCGCGTAGTGTGGCTATGCCCCAAAGCAAGTTTAGGGACAGGTAGTAATCCTGGTTACGAAGTACGAATAGTCGCCGTAGGTAGAGTCAGTGACAGCGAATATCGCGATCTCTGACAACTGTGCCGCCGAGCGCCGCCAACAGGGCTAGGGTGAGCTGCGTCGCCCCGCGCTTCCATCTCCTGAGGAATATCGCCTCAACACCCAAAGGCACCTTGGGCCCCCTCGTGGACGGCAAGTATGACCCCAGCTTCGATCCGGCGCGGCCAGCTAGTAACTCGTCCTCCTCATCCAGGTCGTCATTTGAAAACAAGGGACCATTGGTGTCGGCTCCCCCGCCACACCGTCTAGCTCTGGTACCGCTTATTCTGTAAGGGTGCTCCTACAGCTGGTGGGAAGTGGTTTCGTTTTTTTAATCCCCATACATGTAAAATGTATGTGGCGCCTTTATGCAGTGGTAAATGCTCAAGACCCAGCGTTTGAAGAAATACCTTCATTCCTATACAAGCTATAGAGAATACACTTGGTTATGTCGGCCAGGGCCAAGTTCGGTCAATGTATGCTGGTTTGCTTCGGGAGGTTAATTTTGCCGTAACCTTGCACAGATATTGTCGCACATAGAGCTCACGTCAGAGGGCAGCCCCTACGGAGCAGGAGTCGAGTTAATAGGTCTAGACGTAGTATCTTTCCTATTCATTCTCTCCTTGGAAAACCAAGGGGAGAACCCCCTGAACCCACCTCTTAACAAAAGTGTGCAAAGTGGTGATAGTGTTTAGGTGGTGTAATTGCGTGCGTTACTAACTTATTGTTAAGGGTAGGTGGGGCTATGGGCAAAATATTGGTGAGGAACACTACACTGATCCTCGGGGAGCTTTAAAAATGGTAATAGAGATCCAGAAGGCTTGAAGGTTATCTCGGGTGGGCCTGGCACGGTTCATCCGAGAGGCTCCTGGGCCGTGCACCTATCTCCACCTGTCAGGCCATTTGTCTTTAAGAGAACGGAAATTCGCACACCCAGAATTAGAAGGTGCGCACCCATCTGCTGACTAAGAAGTATAGAATATAAGACGTCTTCTATGAAAGGGCTGGCTGGGGTGAAGGGGGCGAGCCCCGGAGTGTGAAGTATAGTGGAGGGTTGTGAGTAGGGCCGGTAGGTACGACCCGAGTTCCTAGAGGACTAACTCGCCCTGTTTGTGGTCCTGAATTATAAAGAGGACTTATTTGTTGAAGTCGTGAAGATTTTAAGGTTTTGTGCTCTGATTGGTTAAATATTAGGGAGGGTGTGTGCCTTCCGATTCTGGGTGCGTGAATTTCCGTTCTCGTCTTTAATCCCCATAAATGTAAAATGTACGTGGCCTCAATTTTCCCACTCCGTGATCGAATCCCTCACTCGGGGAGCAGCTTTTCATAATTCTATCACTCAACTGTGCAACGCATTCAAACTCGACACATTCCAACGTCCCTGGCCGACCAGTACTCACCATCACATGAACAATGGGCAGAAACGCAAAGCAGACCGATCCTCTGCACCCTCGGGCCTCCCGCGTTGAAAAGGCACGCCGGGTGAGAACAAGGCTCCCTTCCTGGTATTACCGAGTGTTGTCACTCAGATGGGACCGAGAACCGTTCAAAAAAGAGGACCCCCATGACTTCGATGAAGATCTCTCAGAGCTTGAAGAGCAAAGTGAACAGGGAGAGGATGCAGAGAGCCTCCAGGGACGAGCGGACGGAGCGGAGGAATGCGAGTGCGCCAGCGAGGATTCCGAGTGTGACTGTCAGATTTGCGACGACTATGAGACGGAAGATGAAGAGTCAGAGAAATCCTATGACGGATCTGACGCGGATTGCTACTACGACTGGAAAGAACAGCGCGAAGAGAGAAAGCGTGAGAAGCTAGAGGAGCGAAAGGCGGAAGAAAAACTCTTAGAACTTGAGAAGAGCAAGGAAGAGGAGGTCCGTGCCGCATACAAATCTCTCAGGAAGGCTGAGAAAAAGAACAACACGACTCCTGTCAGACTGTCACTATCGGACGAGGCATTTAACCTGTTCTGCACCGATCATGTCGAATATTACAAGTCGGTTTCCTTTGGCAGAAGAGATTATTCTGATGTCGAATCGGATGAATCTGATGTCACGAAGTTAAAGTCTGGCAACGAGATCGACTTGTATGGTATTGTGTATTTTGGGAGAGCGGTTTTCACATTTGGGCCATTCCGCCCTCCCACCCACGCGAGCTGCAAACCTGTGAAGGTGAAGAGCAGCGACGGAACACATGAACTGTCCTTCCAGTTCATTGGCAACGGCTACCTCAAGCTAAGGATCTCTCGCGACATGGTGCTCTTGGGCTTGGACACACCCTCTGAAGGTCCCCCGACTACAGCGCCGGCATCGTTTGATTTCTTCGGAATTTGGCGAGACATTGACAAGGAGATCGCGGAGCGAGAGCGAATTCTGAAGGAGGCGAGGGCGCGACGGCCGCCGTCTCCCCGCGAAACGTGGTTTGAGATGAATCATCCCATGGGGGCTTGGAACAGTGGGTGGTAGGGTTTTTAATTCTCATGCAAAAGAAGGCCTGGAGAATAGGACAGTCAATGCTCGCTGTGTATTTTTATGTTTGACAGGCTGGAGCCAGATACGCTAAGAACTGTTTCCCCTCGCTTTTAATCTCTATGTCTAAAGGTTACACTATGTTGTGTACTGCCGTGGGATACATATCCAGCACGCTCACGTCGTCCGCGAGGCTTTTTCTCCACCTCAGGATGTAGAGCGTCCCGAGGTCATCCACGCTATCTTTCCTCCCTAGCCCTTTCTCCCTCCATGTGCTGCCGGCCCTCCCACGGGGACTGCGCCCAACTCTGCTCCGGTCCCCGGCGCTGCAGCTCGTCCTCCATGCGCTCTCGCTCTCTCCTCGCGAGAGCCCGCATCTCCAGCCGCATCTCCTCCCGCATCTGCTCCCGCATCTCATGGGTTGCCTGCCGCCGGTGCCTTTCCTCGGCCTTGAGCGCAGCGTCGTACTTTTTCTCAGCATCGCGCTCAGCCTTAGCAATTAGCTCGGCGATTTGCCTCTGGCGCTCAGCCTCGGCCTTGTGCTCTTCCTCGAGTCGCTCCCGGGCTGCCCTCTCAGCTGCAACTTTTGTGAGCTCAATCTCCTTCTTGGCCACTTCTTGCGCCTTTAGCATTTCCTCCATCCTGATTTTGAAGGTGTGTTCGGTTTCCTGTCTGATCCTCTGCTCCATGTCGGCCCGCTTTTTGGACTCTTGCTGTTCCCTGCGTTCAGCTTTGAGGTGCTCTAGTTGCTTTTTCATCTCCTCCATTTGCGGGCTGGGTCTATGCTCCTCGGTGGTGGGAGGAGGCTGATGCATCTCGGCTCGCTTTTTGGACTCTTCCCGATCCCTGCGTTCAGCCTGGAGGATCTCTAGTTGTTTCTGGATTTCCAATATTTCTGGACTCGGCTTGTACTCTTGGACAGTGGGAGGAGGTGGTGGTGGCCGAGGTAGCCACTCTGGTGGGGGAGGGGCCTGAGCCCTGTGCATCATGTTCATCGGAAAGTAGAACGGAGGCACCCCGTAGCTGGGCCAGGGGCCTGGGTAGAAGCCCGGCGCGGCCGAATGGTGTTTTTCTTTGGTACCGAACTTCTTTCCGACCCTGGATCCACCATTATTGCGGGCATTGCGTGACCTGGTGTTTCTCTCCGGGCTCTCCTGTGGCTCATCCTCACTCTCGGAGTGTTGCTCCACCAGCGAGATCTCGGTTGGGGGGCGAGGGTGTTCACCGGTCTCAGTGAGTCGGGGCCGTCCCGTGTATCGAAAAATAGATTTGAAATGTTCTGGCAAGTGTAAAGAATACTTGGAAGCCGACATGATGCTTGGGATGGGACTCTCCGCCCCTGGGCGTCTGGAGAGCGCATGCTGGAGAACATCCCGGCTGGCCGCCCCAATGGGGTCGAAGAGATCAGACGCGTCCTTCCATGAGCCAAAACTATTCAGGTCGTCCAGCAAGACCTTTTTCGACTCATCATCGTGGCATATTAGATATCTGGTCAGACACGTGCTCAAGAATCCGCCCATGTTCTGTTGGTTCTTCTGAAGCTGGCCCAGCTGCTGGAAATAGGCAACAGGGTCTTTTGTCCCGAGAGCCAGCGATTTCAGACAAAGAGCTTCTGTTTGGTAGTCCTTCATATCCCGGGATGCCTTGAGTGTTGCTTGCAGAATATCGCGGGCAGCCGTATTTAGCTCATGAGGCAGCCAGCCGGGATTTTCTTGGCGGATTGGGATATAATGAGGCAAGCCTGCCGCAGACTTGGGGCAGATCGCCAGTCCGGCGTAGTCCGAAAGGTACGCGAAATGCTCGAAAGCATTCTTTACCACAGCCTTGGAGATCAGCCATTGAATGAAGGGCCGACTGTTGACTGTGTGAGGAAAATTGTCCAACAGTGAGTGGCCGATTGGCTCAGCTAGGCGCAGACAGTCACCCACCAACCTTCCATCTTCCAGAGATTGGTCGCTGTGGAGAGCTATGAAGGTGAGTAGGTCCAGCAATGCAAGCTCCGTCGACTCGTCCGGCGTGCCTGTCTGCCAGTCTGCCACCATACCCTCTATGGGGGAGGTATGGTCAATGAAAGCATTTAGCGCTTGGTCCGTGTCGTAGGATATGCATGCGTCAATCAGTACATCCCTGAAATCCCATATTCTCTGCTCCGCAAGGAGTTGCCTGTAAATGCTCTTCCAACCGGCCCAGTCACTCAATTCCCTCTCTTTCAGGTCGCGAGGGATGGTTCGATCGGATGCGAGGCATATCATACGCATGCTCATGCTGAGATTCCTCAACTAAAGTGACGAATTAGTTATGCAGCTGTACCGGAAGATTTCCAGTGATAAGTTCGAAGTTACCTCGGTGGAATTAATATCTGACGCCGTACAGTCATCAAATAATCGTATCGTAATACCGTGCCATACCGTGTGCAGCTCATGCTGGCTATGAATTAAAGCCCTTGCTCGCACGAGCATCCAATTAATCTCAAGCTGTTCCTCGACCTCGGACTTTTCTGGATCTTTGCGGCCATTGGGCCCTCGCCGTCCAAACACAGAATTGCCATCCAGAAGTAGCAGTGACTTGAAGTCTCCTTTCTCAAGAAGCATCTCAGCGTACTGTACGAAGATGGAAGGGTCGCTACTCATGTGCTCCTTGAGGTGCGATTCGAAGAACGACTCCGCTGCTATGAAGTTGCCCATCCGAAATAGCCGGCTGAAATCTTCAAGCTCTTCGTCTAAGTCTCTGAAGAGGTCGAACTCGAGATGGACGGAGAGGTCTCTTGCTTCGACAGAGGTATAAACGGCGTCGACATCGGCAGCCAGTCGCAGAACGTCCACGTCGTCTCCAGATTTCCCCGGGCCTTTCCCAGGACTTCTTCGGTCCGCGACGGACCCGGCTGGCCGAGACTCTGCATCGAGCGCATGATTTGATAAATGCCTCTCCTTTGTCTTAACGGACCGATTTCGAGCCCGGTGGGATCTCCCTGGCCTCCCAACAGGTGCGGCAGGTGGTGGCCAACCGCCCTGTCCTGGAGCAAAAGGATTCCACATCGGGTAATGCATCATATCATTCCATTCCTCGTAAGAGGGCTGTTGCCAGTAGGGCGTCGTGTAGTGGTCCTGGTTGGGAGGCATGTACCCAGCGTTGCCATAATAAGGTGCTGGAGGAGGTACCCTAGGTACCCATCCTGCCCCTCCTTGCGGACCTGGCCCGAAGAGGCTGTTGTACGAATAGGGTAACCCTTGTCTACCGGCAGGGCCAAACTCTACAGATATGGAACTCGGGACAGGTTGAGGTTGTTCCTGCTGGTGCTGGTGCTGGTGCTGGTGCGCGCAATCCTTCGGAAGGAACGCGTTGCGCTTGGTGCGGTGGTTGTGTTGTTGTTTTCCACTAACAGAAATAGAATCTTCGGGATCGATTTCGTCTAACTCATCATAGGAGTCCACGCTACTATTGGAGGATGAGTCGTCGGGGTTGTCGCAGACGCTCTTGTCCCGCGGCTCCTGTTCTCCGACCGCCGATGCGCTGTGCGCTATCTGCTTTCCTTTAGGGCTAACATAATGCACAAATGGCTTTGAGCGGTGTGCGCGACTGTTTCCAGTGTTGCTGGGCTCCATGTGACTAGGACCTGGTTGTCTGCCCGCACTTCTGAAGCCAAGGATGCAGCGACCCTCATGGTCAGCTTGGACTGTATTCTATCAGAGCCATATGAGGGAGGGGTGCGATATTCAAGTAGTGACTCGTCAATGTGCACATGTGGACAGAATGAGAGACGAAGGGTTTACGGCGGCGAGGGTATGGCCTCAGTGCATGATTAAGGACACTTACCCAGACATTGGGAAGACTCAAAGAGATGAGTATTGGTTGCAATGGGTTTTGATGAGTTTCGTTGACTTGGTCGTGACAGCCCTTACTGATATACTAACTAGCAGGTGTACATACGATAATAGTCAGAAGGTTTCTCATGTTGTGGCGTCGCTGCTCCGTCAACCAGCCCCCCATTTGGATCAAATTTGTGCAATAGTCCTGCAGGATGCATCCTTCTAGTGGCTCGTCCCTGGTCTTATTCGCGAGCAGCCATGCATGCCTGTCGCGTAGCCGGGGTTGTGATAGGCATGGTGCGTGGCTGGGTGGACTAAGTAGGTCACCCGAACCTCAGCCGCAGTTGAATCAGGCAACCTCTATTTTCGAATGCTGAATCTCAATTTCATTACCCCCCAGCGCATCACTGGGACCTTGACGTTCTCTCCAAGCTTCAATCAGTCCACGGGTTTCAGCCCAGAGGCAAGCACCATGCCCCGACCAGTGCGCCGGACAGAGGATGGACCTCATCCCAAACTACTGAGCTCATTCCGTCGATTTGGGAGAGCTGATAGCTTCAAGCCTGTAGGGGCTTCATCAACCAGCATCGGATCGAAGTCCCTTGGCAAAGTCAACATCGACTGCCAATTCCTCTTCAAAGAATCCCAATGGGGCACGTTCGAAGGCCGGCCTGGGGGCATTGTATATTTGAATCTCAATTTTGGGCCTCCACAGAATTGTCGTGTGCAGGAGGCCACAGTTACGATCACCTTGGACGAGGAGGATCCTTGCCTAGAACCCTTCAATACGACCCAGCGCCTGAGTGTGCTGCATGAGTCTGGCATTGAGGCCCAAATGACGCCGTGGTTCGGGCCGCAGGTCTTGGGAGGTGAGAAGAAGTTTGCAGAGGTCACATCGACGACGAAAGCGATTCCAGAGGCGACCGTTATCGGCAACGGTGGTGGCGGGATTGGGCACGAGCGATCGAAGGTGTTCAGACAAGAGGCTCGATGGTCCTTCTACGGGCAGTTGCTACGGAAGAAACGGACAGCCACATACGCCTCCTTAAGATGGCATCTGAACGAGAACGAGCTCGAGGGCCAGGCTTTCCACAACCCAACATTCCGCACCGCCTTCGCTTTTGAGCATTGCGGCAGGCCCTTCCTCATAAAGGTGGACATTGAGGGCAGACTCGAGAAGTGGCACCATCAAGTTCAATCCAAGCTAAAATTCGGCGCGGGCGGAGCAAGGGAGGGAAAAGTGGTCACTCTTGTCGATTTTGAGGACTACCGGAGATTCTCGCGTGATCTTGAAGCGATAGCCAGGGGTCTCCCGAGAACGATGGAAATGAGAAACCTGGAAGAGATTCCAATGGAAATCCAGGACTCCGTGCCTGGTGCGACTTTCTATCAGGCTTCCCCAGCTCCCTGGAGCAGCTCAGGCCCGTCTGAGATGCTGCAAACCACTGCTCAACATCCGGGGCAGCAGCAGCAGCAGACATACACCTCAAATTCCGAGATCTCGAACCAATTTGAAGAGCAACCGCTGCTTCAGGAGCGGGGTCAAAGTCTGAGCACGCCCAGGGAAGTATCAGAGATCGAGCAAGGAGATGGTGAAATTTCTGCGGCCGAAAATTACCGACGACTTCTCTCAGCGTTTTCGGATCCGGGTGTTCAGGAGGGCGTGCGTGAAAACGCGATTGATACGACATCGAGCGACGCGAGCACCTTGATGAATTCGGAGAACTCAATGGATTCGGCAAATGAGACACCGGGCTCGAGGGATTGCGATACCCAGAAAACGGAAACAGAGCAGAGCCGGAGTGGATTCATGCAGGCCGTGACAGCCGCGGATCAAGACACAATGCTGGCAATCCTGGGCATACCCGGCATGCTGGCCTTTCTGCAGTTTCTCGCCAGTATCATGAGTTTCCTGGGAACCGTCCCATCAAATAAGAGGCTTACGGAAGAGTAGTTGAGTGGAGAAGTATTTACTATGTGGAATAATATTTGAAGTTTTAGTGTAGGTACTCTTCTCGTAGGTGAAATTGCAATGCACACTGCATACTGTGCCAGAGTCATACCTGTGCAAGCTAGGACATAAGGATGCAGCCGGCCGAAATCTGGGCACTCATAACTCGTCGAATATGATAGGGCTTGCTTGGCCGTAGGCTTCCGTCGGGGTGCATAACACAGCTTGGTCTGCTGCACATGTGCTGACGCTGCCACACTTTTCCGCCCCGCCATCTGCAGCTAAACAGTTTCTGGAAACCCTGACGGGACACAGCTCTACTAGTTACTCCACAAGCCGTGTTGAACTTGGAGCACTTGAGGACTCGTGGCTTGCCGCTTCCGACTCACAATCTGGGAGTGGACACTCTCTATGTCATCCATGTTCTTTGCGAGACACTCTTCACTCCTACATTATCTCTAGGCGCTCCAGGAGTCCCTCAATCAAGGCCACTCCAGAATCTGCAGTTGCTTATTGGCCCTAAACCTGCCAGAAAGTGGAATAGCTAGTGCTATGTTTTTCTCTCCAGAAAAATGAGGCTCTTACCTCGTTCCCGTGGCTGCAAGTGACTATCGTCGTGCCCGGAATCTATGAGATTTCACAGGCCAGAGCGCATGTGCTCGCTGTTTGGGCTGAACTATTTAATCGGTAGACGCTCCAGTACCGAGTTAACTTGTGAAAAACTAGAGGGCAACTACCGCCTCCCCGATACCACCTATTTCGTTCGATCATAGATTGGAGCTCACACGCAAATTTACGTGGTATTACTGCTTCTTGTGTCCACAATGTCCCTCAGCGAAAACATGGAAGCCTATATTTCCCTGGTGACGGTATTGATCATGTGTATACCTGGAGTTGTGGTTCTAGCCAAAGCGTCGAGAAGAAAGAGTAGTATTACGAAGACATGGAACACGGAACTGCAGGTGCTTCCGGTTCAAGAGCATCGCTGCCGGCCAGTTACTTGGCCAAATGATAACGCCATGAATCCTCGCGACGGGTCGTACCGTTATCCAATGACAAGGGAGCCAAGGCCGCAGGTCTGCCGAGCACAGGGTTCCTGTCCCAGTCCAGAGCTCTACTACCTTGAACTGGTAAGAGATATATTCACCAAAAAGAGCACATGCGGAGACTGCAATGCTCAGATGTCTCTAACACAACTTGTAGGATAGCACGCCGATTCTCTTACCACAGACTGCGCACGTGCGAGTTTGAGTGTAGACATCCGGATATAGAACTTTGAGGGCAATATATCGCTCGTTTTGCGACGTCAGTAAGAGAATACCATTCACCGCCGAGACGGCATCATGGCACTTCTCGCAGCACCATACCTCCCTGAGTGAAAGACGCAGTGCTGAGCGGCCCGGGTGTCGAGCACTTGAGAGCTTAGGTTGGGGCAGCTTCCACGTCTCGTGAGATCGTGGTGAGAAGAAAAGATCAGACACAAATCGAATGAATGTTTAAGTTAGAAGGGACCATTTTGACTCGTTGCGCCATCCAAGATTTTGACGGGCGTAGGTACCAATGAGGCTGCATTTACCAAGCCCACCTGAATCCGCTGGACGCTGTTCATGCATTATCAGTTCACCAATCGAAATGGTGGATGAGGTGTTGCATGAGCACACATATCCTGCTGAACAGCCTCTGGCGCCTTGTTGAGTACCCAGGTGAATGATGAACTTGTACCCGCCTAATAGCAAAATAACCAACTTCCAAGGTTCTTCTGACATTGCCCGGCCATTTCCAGTTCCAGTCAACGGGTTGTTGTTGCTCTGACGCCAGATGACGTCTTGTTGTCGACGGGCAGGGTTAGGGGTGGAGACGACAGGGATCAGCTTCGAGTGAGATACGTGGCCCGTGCTGGCTCAGGGGCTACCCTGGCAGATCATGATTGGCGCAGGCACGACGTCGAGCTCCGCTTTTGCCGTGCTGGAGGGCGGCAACACTGCACCCAGCCTTTTGGAGCTCTGGCGCCCAGGCCGACGTGCTTTTTGGGAGGAATCAAGAGGACAATCAGCCGAGTTTTCCCACGACCAGCGCCCATCATTGCCGCGACATAACGCCTGTGTGACGGACGACGGCTCAAGGCGCTTGATCTCTCTCAGTTCCCATCGCTTTCGGCGCCCCCGAGACGGAAATCTGCCCGCGCCCCCACGCGACGAGCGACGAGTCACCCGCGACAGCCACCGAGTCGTGACGAGTCGTTGCGTGGCGTTGGCCTGACTGACGTACCTGTGTTTGTCTCGCCATCCTGCCTGCAGAACCCACGAAGCGGCCACGGCATCTTGCATGCAGCTCGGCAGCACGAGAACAGCCGAAGCTCAGCCCAGCGGCTCCAATGCGATTGCGAACAAGGACAATCTCCCACTCGACGTGAGGAGGATACCCACCACAACACAGGACATATCGCTGTCCAGCGCGACGAGGGCAACGGGGACAGCCTCCTCCGACACTCGTCTCTCCGGGTAGCTCCCTCAGCGTGCTGGTCATCGGACCAACCGCGCCCCTCGCATGAACCTACCCTCCTATCTCCTCGCGAACGGGAACCACGTCAACGGGGTCGCATTGGGAAGCCCACGCACCCCAAACTTCATACCCCGTCGGCCAGTTGGAGACATGGCCGGCGCAATGAACCCTGGAGGTCAAGGAGGCAGCGCCGGCGGCCTGAACAATGGCAACCCAGCCGGCACGCAGCCCCAGGCCACCGAGTACACACTTCAGGGTGTAATGCGCTTCCTCCAGACCGAGTGGCATCGTCACGAGCGCGACAGGAACGCCTGGGAGATCGAGAAGCAGGAGATGAAGGGCCGTATAGCAAACCTCGAGGGCGCTGCGAGACGTGCCGATGCGACACAAAAGGCCCTCAAGAAGTATGTGGCCATCCTCGAGTCCAAGGTCAAGGACCAGGCCTCGCAGCTCAAGGCTGCTGCCAGTGGGACCGAGGTCCAGGACCAGAGCGCCAAGCCGAAGAAGGTGGACCGCGAAGAGTTGATACAGGCGAAGCTGCGCTGTGAGTTTAGCAACGCCTGCCCCAGTTGGACCCCCCTTTGCTCTGACATCGTGTACAGCTGCCCCCGAGAAGGTCCCCGGCGCGTCCCAGGATCTTGGCGTGGACCTCGAGCGGATAGACGATGACGAGTCACAGCGATCCGAACTCAAGACCTTCCTCGACCAGTGCCAAGCCGAGTTTACCTACCTCATGATCACTCCTGCCAACCCCATGCCCCCACGAGAGTCTCCCCCGCTACCTATCTTGGAGGATCTGCGGGAAGGCGAGGGTTATGGGATTCCGAACAATCAACAACAGATGGACCCCATGTATCGCCAAGCCCAAAACAACTTGCGCGAAGTCCTGGGACGACAGCCGGCTCCGATGAGCAACCACGTCCAGCCCATGCAACAGCAGCCTGGCAACCAGCTGTCAGTGAGAAACCCGGATATACAACAACCCCAGCCAGCAGCTGTCTCACAGCCAATGGTCAGGTCTGCGGAAGGCCAGCAAGGCTACGATGCCACCCCAGACTGGCCCGCATCGGCATCCGTCACCAGCCGCATGATTGACGAAGTACCACCAGAATCGAACCAGGACCCCAAGCCTCCTGTCCAGTCCCAGCGAGTCGGGTTTGATGGCGGCTCGAAACCCGATGCGATAGACCCTGATGGCTGGGACTTCAACGACTCATCCTTCCCAGACCCCGCCGGCCATGCACAGCAGTCGGCCTCAAACCGGCCTGATACCGATGTCTTCCCGACCGCCGATAACCTGCCGAAGTCACCGAGCCGTGGACCCTTGGCGCACCGCCGGAAGAGCTCATTGTCACGAAGACGGAGCGGGGACCAGGAGATGTCGCTGAATGCCTTGGCTCAGAAAGTGGAGAGCGGCAACTTCAAGCTTCGCTTTGGGCTCCGCGGCCATCTGAACACGGTACGGACGCTCATTTTCTCCGGCGGTGGCAGCCCCGGCGAGCCCGAGATTTGCACGGCGGGCGATGACGGCCTGATCAAGCGGTTCCACATCCCTCGAGGTAGCCCGCATGCTTACAATGCAGCGTCTTCCGTCTCAGACTTGGACGTACAGGCTGATTTCACACACCGTGGTCATAATGGTGCTGTTCTCTGCCTGTCGTCATGGTCGCCCTCGCCCAATTTCTCCACGGGAGGTCGAGCACAAGGGGACGGATGGATCTTCTCAGGCGGCCAGGACTCCACTATCAGGGTGTGGGAACGTGGTCGAGTAGACCCCAAGGCCACTCTCGATGGTCATACAGATGCTGTGTGGACAATATGTGTTCTGCCTGCAACACTGGGCGCTGTCTTCGGCCAGCAAAACCCCTACGGAACACCAGACCGTTTACTCGTTGCCTCTGGTGCCGCCGATGGCACAGTCCGTCTTTGGGCAGTCAGCCAACCACCCCAACTGACCAGCCCACAACCACCTCCAGCCTCGGCTGGGCGAAGAGCCGGCGGCAGCGGTCGCGTCCGTGGAAATAGCATGAGCTCTGGATCTGCATTCCCCAGCAGTCCCCAGCCAACGATGGCTACCAACAGCCCCTTCCACCACACCCTAGTGCACACCATCTCCCGACCCAATTCCACGGCGTCGCCGACCTGCATCACGGCGCTGAGCGCGTCAGGTGAAAACTTTGTTGTCAGCTACTCGGATGCTGCCATAGTCGTTTATGATACCCGGACAGGCGAAGAGATCGGCAGCATGGCGAGCTTGGAGACATACGATGGCTCGATCAACACAAGTGTCAACACCGTTGTCGCCACGACATCGGGTCTCGACCAGGGTCAACACCAGCCGGGACACGGCGGCAACGAGGAGGACTCGAACTCGGGCGGCGGAGGACCGACTGGTGGCGGCAGGCAGATGGCGGGCAGCGGCGTCGAGGGCGTCGTAATTTCCGGGCACGAGGACCAATATATTCGGTTCTTCGATGCCAACAGCGGTAAGTTGGGCACGCCCATAGACATCTGGAGCATGCCTCCCCTTCTCCATGACGACGTCATTTACTGACGTTATTTGTTGTTTCACAGGTCAATGTACATACAACATGGTGGCCCACCCCGCCTCCATCTCGGCGCTGTCCCTGTCCCCCGACGGCCGCGAGCTCGTGTCGGCGGGCCACGACGCCTCCCTGCGCTTCTGGTCGCTCGAGAAGCGCAGCTGCACGCAGGAGATCACGTCGCACCGCATCATGCGGGGCGAGGGCGCGTGCGCGGTGGTGTGGAGCCAGGACGGCCGGTGGGTCGTCAGCGGAGGGGGCGACGGCGTGGTCAAGGTGTTTGCCAGGTAGGGACTGGCCGACGCCCGGGCGCGCCGCTCTGTCTTTGATGATGATGATGATGGTGACGAGGAGTGGAGGGGAGGCCGCGAGGACGACGACGGCGACGACGGCGGGGATGAGGGCGAGCGCTCGCCGAGCCCGCCCACGCCGCCGAGGCATGGGCCCCGCGGCGGACGGAGGTGCAGCAGTGGCAGTATCAGCAGAGAGATGAGGGCTTTTGTCGCTAGTTGTGATGCGCTGGGGATCTTCTGAATGTGCGCGCGCCCATCCACATTGGGGGTTGATGTTTGAAAGCCAGGGCCCACCGAGCCGGAGCCTCTTTCTTGCTTTTTGTATCTTGGCTGAGGGGGGTGGGGAACCTGGCACAACACGGTATAGGGGTGCCAGAGGGGGGAACGTCTGAGAAGGGTCCGTGGACGTGGACCCAACCGACCGACCGACCGGCCAACGGAGCTGTACGAGAAGGGTGTATACGGGAAGAGAGAAACAAAAAGACGGGGAACAAGAATCGGTCCCGGTCTGGCATTAAATAATTACTTGTCCATGGGAGAAGCATGTTGCGGCGTGGGGAGATGGGTCTTCTAAAGGACGAATTTGATATCATTTTCTTCCGTGCTGTCTGGCTGTGAACTCTGCCGTGCCACTTCTTTGATCTCCAGCGGGCCTTTGCTATGTATGTTGACTCTTGACACTCACTTGCCAGCATCACCATCTCACCTTTTGTAATCAGAACACATCGCCGGCCAAGTTTGTCAACGGTTTGAAACATAGCTAGCTCCCAACATCAGCCTACAACAACTTGCCTCGTCCTCAACTCTATAGCGGTCTGAGACTGTCCATCATGACCTATGCTCCTCCTCGCCTCCTCAGCCATATCAGTGTTCCCCAGCAGCAGACACATCGCCAAATTCTTCCACGCCACCTCTGTACCCTCGCCGCCGTCACCTGCACCAAGATCCATGTCCTCGTCAGCAAGCAATCGGCCTCGAGGAGGTCCGCCGGCACAGCCCCCAAAGAAAGTCTCGGAGTACTTCGGCTTGGGTTTTCACCCAGCTTAACTGGGGTGTGTGTAGAGGATATTAGTTGCGCAGTTGTAGTGCAATTGTGGGGTGCTGGCTTTTGCTTCCACGACTTCAATGTTTTCATCTTGCCGGGGCAGACCAGCTGGGAGGTCTCGGCACATTTAATTGGTTTCGCTCCTATTCCGCATACGTCTGGGGATATACACGGCGCCTTCATACGGTGGTAAATGCTCAAGACAGAGGTTTATAAAACCTTTGTATACTAGTAGCACCATGGGGCATGATACTAAACCATAGTAAGTATGCACCTTGCAAAGGCGTGGCTACACTCTGTAATAACTGCCTAAAATCAAAGAAAGAATAGGTATTTCTTCAATATTCCTAGCTGCCAAACAAGTTGTTCATCCTTTCTCGCTTTTTGGCCATTCAAACACCCTAGGGTATCGAGGGGGGTCATGAAAAGAACTCGACTTGCGATTCAGCTTGTCTCCGCAAGGGCGGCGACTAAACCAGAGGCGACTAGCGCGGCCTCTGGAAGGGTATGGCTAATACAAATCGGACGGTATGTAAGCCCTTATAGTATTATGTAGAGCATATTTCATCATCCATTTTCCGTTTCCAAAGTTCGACGACTCATCTGTTCCCTTATAGAATTCCTGTCACCATGTCACAATCACGCGCTGCCACTATCGAGCTTCAAGACCATAACGCCTATCCACACACAGGCGTGTCGCAGGGCAAAGCTCCCAACCGGCAAATCATAGATAATGGAGGCTCTGATACGCTGAGTTCACGCGAGGAACCTTCTCTGCCCCGTGTCGATGGAGGAAAGGATGCCTGGTTGTTCCTGGCTGCTTGCTGGATTGTCGAGGCAATAACGTTCGGTGAGACTTTGTTATTCTCTGCTGTTATTCATGTATCGCACTCGACGAATCTTTCACAGGGCTATACTGACCTGTGAGCATTTAGGTTTTGGTTTCTCATTCGGTATTTTTCAGGATTACTACAGCTCTCACAGGCCGTTCTCTGGCTCAAGCAGTATTGCTGCCATTGGTACAACTACTTCGGTAAGCCTCGGCGGATTCCCTGTCATCCTGACGAGATCCAACTGAAACATTTTACCAGGGGCTGTTGTACATAGGAACACCATTTGTCCTTACGATCTGCCGCCTCTATCCTCGATGGACGCGATGGTTTACCCTCATCGGGCTGACCATCTGCTCCCTTTCCATGGCCCTGGGCTCATTCTGCAACACCGTGCCCCAGCTCATCGGGGTCCAGGGCGTTCTCTTTGGAATGGGCGGGTGCATTGCATATTGCCCCTCTACGTTATACATCGACGAGTGGTTCGACCGGCGCAAGGGCATGGCCTACGGCATCGTGTGGAGCGCCGCAGGTGCCGGAGGTGTGATCCTCCCCCTGGCCCTCCAGGCCCTCCTCGAAAGCTTCGGCTTTCGGACCACGATGCGGATATGGTCCGGCATAATATTTGCGGGCGCCATCCCCTTGACTTGGTTTGTCAAGCCCCGGCTGCCGGTCCTGGCGAGCCGTCACAAGACACCCCTTAGGATGCGGTTCGCCCTCTCCAAACGGTTTGTCCTCTACCAGACGGCCAACGTGATCGAGGCGACGGGGTACTTCCTCCCCGGTATCTACCTCCCGACATTCGCCCGCGAGACTGCTGGTACTTCGAACTTCATGTCCGCGCTGACGCTTCTGCTGATCAACGTCAGCTGCACGATGGGCTTGGTGGCCATGGGATCCCTGAGCGACAGGCTCCAAGTCAAGACCTGCATGCTCCTCTCCGCGGCAGGCGCGGCCGTATCTGTCCTCGTGATCTGGGGGCTTTCGGTTTCACTGCCTTCCATATACGTCTTTTGCGTCTTCTATGGCCTGTTCGCCGGGTCCTGGTCGGCGACATGGCCCGGGATCATGAGGGAGATGGCCCGGAATGGCGAGGCTGATGGGTATGGGCTGGTTGATCCCGTCATGGTCCAAGGGCATCTCTGCGTGGGCAGGGGCCTTGGAAACGTGGTGTCTGGGCCGCTGAGTGCTGCTCTCATAACAGGTTCGCCATGGAAGGGGCAGGCCAGGGGGGCGTATGGGTCGGGATATGGCTTGCTGATCTTGTATACGGGTGTCACGGCCGTGTTCGGTGTGGTCCCATTTTTTGGGAAGTTGTTGGGACTCCTGTAAGTCTAACAGGGCATACTTCAGTTCAGTGAGTGACGCCGATTTGGTCATTGGACACTATTACTATCGATTCGTTTGCGTTGTAATATGTTGCCTGTGTCTCAGTGTGAGCTTTCATAATATCTGCCCCTCTGTGTCCAGTGAGGTAGCCACCCTGGGGCAATGAAGCTATATTTGACACTGACAGCGCTGAATATACATCCATCCACATTCCAATTGGAATTCGGATTATATTGCAACGTGATTTACTCCGGCCGAACTGAAATCATATGAAGGCTTTCACTGCTATTCTGTTTGCGCTCGACTTTTTAAATCATTCAGCCGCTCCCCGGAAAGCTGATTCTCAGTTCAAAAAGCAAGGCTAATAAATCCATCGTTTCCGGTAATTCAATGGTTCGCGGGAATCATTCCAACCGGCTAGTACAAGTTCCATTGCAGGAGAGTCTCATTTTGGTGGTATGTGTGTTTGTGCAATAAAACAAGGGGCCAGGCGGATGTCCATGGACAGCCACACAAAAGAGGCTAGCCTATACCATTAGATGGACACGGATTCCCTGCTGCCTTGCAATCCTTCAGGTCTGATACGTTCGAAGCCGTTTATCTCGAAATACGAAGTGCCCGCCCGCGCACTGCTAAGACGCAGAGCGATGTGCTTATCCAGCCCAACCTGAGTACCAGCCCAAACATCAACGCAAGCAGAATGTCAAGGCCTATCCAAACAGAAGACCCGACAGACGAGGGCCCTCCATACCGCTCATTCGAGGAGCTTCGCCGCGACCCAAATGTCGCCGTCTTCTTCTCTCACGCTGCCAAACGTCTCTTTTGGCCCCTCGACGGCGTCTTCCCCACCGCGCTCTCCGTGATGAAGACGCCGCGCAGCACGGACGATCTCGAGCCTTACTTCCAGCAGACCCTCGCCGGCGGTGACATCTGGCACGAGATCGCGCAGCTGCCCCTGACAGAGCCCAAGGTGTCGTCGATCGAGGCGTCCGTCTCCGACCTGGACCAGTGGGAATCCGACTGGGTGGCGTGGCATGGGTACCACGAGGGAGAGCCGGCCGACCAGGAGTATGTCACGTATGGCGAGCTGAGCGATGAAGATCGGCCATACGCGGAGGAGGCCAAGGAGGACGGCAGCTGGGAGGAAGACTCGGACACCGAGTTCCTCATCCGGTGCTGCGGGCAGGAGCGACCCCTACGGAAAGGGGGCCAGAAGCTTGTGGTCACCCCGGCTGCAGACGGCCACTTTGTCACGGTGCATGACTATGTCAGCGGTGAGTCGACCTCGGGCAAGAGGTGACGGCCCAATAGGCACTTGTGGCTAACGACAGAGGACGAACAGCTGTGCATCCCTGGCTCATGGACTTGCTTCCTGATATTTTGCTTGCCAAGACCGTTGCACGGCCTCAGCCGTATCAGATGTCGGCGGGGATGGCGTGGATGGTGGATCACGGCCCGGAGCACAAGATGGAGGAGAAGCGGAGCTGGATCGAAGCGCATGGGGGTGGTCCGCAGCGCCCTGTCCCTGCGTCGACGGCCGCGATTCTCGCCAGGATACGTGCGAGTCGAAAGAGGTGACTGTGATGTCTACCCTATTTTGTTTGCTGTCTGCGAATAGTTCTGAGCCGCCTGTAGACTACAAGCATGCACCATTAGTCATCATGGAATGCATTTTCAAGCGGCTTATTAGGCTTAACCAGAGCGTCGCATCTGCCAAGAAAAAAACCATCAAAGAAGCCTCCTGTCCCATTCTAGGGGCGATGATCTCCTGGCCGGCAGGCCTTATACCCCAGCACATGATACTAAAAAAGAGCCGACGGCATCCGTTACCTAGATATCGTGCCGTTGGCGACTCTCTGACCTCCTTCCGGCCGGCCGCTCCCACGCTATCCTCAAGGAGCTAAGTGGTTTCGTTTTTAATCAAACAAGCGTTGAGCCAAATCTCGACTTGGGCCTGCTCTAATCTCAACTTCAACAACCCTGGCTACGATATCTTAAATGAGCCTGCGCTTTATTTGCCCTTACTCGTCAAATACAATGTTTGCTGGGCTTGTGCAAAAATCCCCAACTCTCTTCAGAGCCCCTCAGATTGCATGTCTGAGACACATGCATCAAGGGTACGATGAACTGTCATGGAACACGCACGCTGAACATGTCCCAGCAAAGGAACATGGCTTACTAATCCTGTCAGGGAGATGTTGCTCGAAGGCTCGGCAGTCGCCTATTTTGATGCCGAGCCTATGACCTAGACAATGTCCAAATGCCACTGCATAAGCAATGGAGGAGACGCATGCCGGATCAAGCCTAGAAGGTCTGTTGCTTGATATTTTAGGACAAGCGGAGCGCATCAATCGTCTTTATACCCAACTCACCCTCTGTTTCCCGGTCGGAAACGAATCACCGGGCTTGAGGGCGGAGGTCATCGAGAACCTGGAAAGGGGGCTCGCACGACTGTGTAGGACGTTCCCTTGGCTAGCAGGCAAGGTGGTCCAAGATGGAGGGGAGTTCAAGATCACATCCACAGCATCCGCCCCACACCTGGTGGTCAAGGAGCTGCAAGGCCATGGCCCAGTGCCGAGTTGGGATGAGCTAAATCGAGCAAACTTTCCGTTCCGCATGCTCGACGAAGATGCCATTTCCCCGTGCAGAACCATGGTCGAGCCCGGAGCGGAGCGACCTGTATTGATAATCCAGGCCAATTTCGTGCAGGGTGGTCTATTGCTCACCTTTAACGCCCAGCATGGGGGAATGGATATGACAGGCCAGGGACAGGTTATTGCTCTCTTCGCAAAGGCTTGCCGTGGCGAAGACTTCACAGAGGACGAGTTAGAAGTTGGGAACATGAAAAGGACGCGCTGGATACCAATATCCGACGACGACGCGCCGGATCATCCCGAGGCGTCGAGACCAGGAGGGGAACAAAACGTCCGACCTCTGGCATCAGATTCGAATTCACGCGGGGGATTTTCAGGACCACAACAGCCGCGTTCTGGCAGTCTTGTGTGGGCATATCTCGAATTCCCCGCTGCTTCACTAGCCAACCTCAAGCAGCTCGGCAGCGAGACACTCAACACGTCAGACGCTACTTTTGTCTCAACAGACGATGTACTCACCGCACTCACCTGGCAATTGATGACTCGCGCGCGTCAGCCGGGGCTGAACAGCCAACAGTCAACTAAGACGACACTCACGCGAAATGTCGATATTCGCAGCCACTTTGGTCTGCCATCCACATATCCAGGTTTAATGACCACGTCGACAATCCATGAGCATACTGTTGATGACGTCGAACATAAACCCCTTGGCGCTGTTGCCTCCAGCCTTCGTGCAGCATTGAGACCTGCCTTACTTAGAGAGAGTGCAAAGGCTCAGGCCTCCATCATTGCAAGGTGCAAGGAGTCAGCGGCGCAAATGAGCGTTGCGGCTCGAAGCAACCGGCGCTTAGATGTCAAGGTTAGCTCATGGGCGAGGGAGAAATTGTACGACTTAGACTTTGGGCCCTGCCTTGGACGGCCGAAGGCGGTTAGGAGGCCGAAGTTTGGGGATGGTGCCAGGGAGGGACTAGTCTATTTCCTCCCGAGAGAAAGGGATGGGAGCATCGTGGTTGGGGTTTGTTTGAGAGAAGAGGACATGGACCGACTGAGGGAGGATGAAGAAGCAAGGCGATGGGCGTCATGGATCGGGTAAGGATTCATCTTGGTCCACGGTCGCGCTTCGTGTTCGAGGCCATCTTTTACCATGAGAGGCAAATAGTACGGGCATCACGAGCGCAGCTTGAGTCAATGGAATGTCTCGTTTAAGATGTACCCAAGGAGAATTATCCAAATGTTAAATGGGCTCATCATGACTCGTATAGCGAAGGAGGTGATCGCCTCCTCCCGTGCGTGCCGAACCGAAGCTCTGTAGATTATTCAATAATCACGTTTGGCATGCCAGGCGGATGATTGACTGACAAAACAGTATATTTCCACGTTGTACACCACCTCGAGGTCGCTACGCGCAGCCCGGGCAGCAACAGAGGTGTCGGGGGTTGTAGGGACATTTTCAGGCATGGTTCCTCTCTACAGACGAATATATAGATACAGTGAGTTTAATGTGGATGCACCGGAATCAATTGCCAGGTGGTGTGGAAAACATGACTCTCAGATTGTTGGTGCAGTGTTTGGCGGTACAATGAGTTTTGCAACCAAATAGAAACGCGGCTTCTTGTCTATCCTAGAACAAGTCTACAGAAGTCTCCTCTAAGCCGTGTCTCCTCCAGCCTGCTACTAAGTTACCCGCATTCTCGCTGCTTCTACTCATGGGTCCAAAACAGGTGCTCCCCAACGTCCTGAAATGTACACTGCTTCATGTCCCAGTGCCCAGGTGAGATCATGTCTGATGGGCGTCAGAAATACCAAGCGCTAGAACGGACAGTTTTCGGCCCATCTCCCACGGGCTTTCACCTCGCTCAAGAAAGACTTACAGGAAAGTGGTAGTTTGCGGCCCAAGGGCTTTCTAGCAACAACCCCAGTCTGCACAGGCATTGAAGCATGGTGAGCCAGGCGGGGGGCAGTTCGCACAGTTCTGTCGGTTCTCGAGGACGGCTGCCACGCCGCGCTCATTGGGCGACATGTTGGGCGCAGATGAGACGAGGGTGGCTCCGCCGACGAGGATTGCCAGGGCGGCCTTAAGTGCGGGGAGATACAACATTGTGGCGGAAGTGTATACTTGGAGGAGTTGTAGCTGGGTGGTGGGATATGGTTTATCTTTAAATTTGATACCTGTGAGGATGGTGCTGTTGAAGAGACGAGAGTAGGAGGGGATTGCACTGCTATTTATATTCCAGCGGTTTTCTCCAGTCTCGCAGAATCACGATCAAGGCCGCACTCAGCCGCCTCTACTGGATACAAACTTTATTGAACTCTGTATAACGCCCAGGGAAAGGTACCACAGCTTCCAGGTTTAGACTTTGCATATTTCTATTGCATTACAGGAGAGAAAGTTTCATGAGTCAGTAACGGAACAATTATTGTGCTCGCCGCTGCAAAGGTGATCTTGTCTGTCAGCTTCGGATCTCGGTCAATGGACCAAGCTGAATTAACTCTTCTGGCCCTTGTCGCCAAGCACATACAAGGAAGACATAAAGCTGGGGACGGCTCGGCCTCCTCATGCTGAAATCTTCCGGCAGCGGACATTTCGGGTCGCCCAACGAACATGAGAAAGCTCCGCCGGTGGCCTGTTCCCACAAAGAGGTTCATGGTGCCCGAGTCTTCCCACTTAACTCACACGAGCCTTGAAAACACGAGGGATCTCAGATCTAGAGTCCGTTTGACAATTCCTTTAGCTAGCCAAAAGATACCAGGCTATGCTATTGATCACTGTGAACTTGTTAACGTCTGATTTTCCTCTTCTCTTCTCTGAACTGCACCCATAGACCATGCTTCTCTGTCCGAGAACAAATAATAATCGCATCATTTTGCGCCTTGTCTACCCCAAATCCTCACGCCCAGGCAGCAGCGCCACATCCTTACTCTAGAGAAACGAGCACAACGCAACAGTGATCATGAGGAACGCCAGCTTGATCATAATTACAATCTCACACTGATAATGAAGGGACAAAACGCCGACCGTGCCGCATTCACCGCCTCCCCGCCAACATTTTCGGTTAGCCACCTATCGGGGTTTTGAGTCAGCAGCTCGGCGTAGCATTCCTCATTCCGCTGGATACCTTACGATGAGACAGCCGGTAAATTCAACGCCTGCTGGTTGGCTTTTCCCGTCCTTCTCCGGCCCTCCCGGCAAAAGACGACCGCCAAGGCGCACGCTTCGAGCCCCGAGTTTCCGCGGACAATGTCGTCTGCATTAGCGAACTGGAATCGGATCTCGGTCGTTGTGAGATCCAGTCCACCGGTGTTGTGCGCGATAAAGAAGGTTGTGAACTGTTGTTGGCGCACTCAGGACTGTCCGGGTCAGAATAATTCTAACAATGTATGAAGTGGTTCGGCAACATGCTCTGCTGGCACCTGGGTGTGCTGTGATCGCACACTTGAATGTTCACGTGTATAACCCGCCGGACTAGAATAGCTGACACGTAGTTAAACAATCATACCACACCAGAAACTCATCTAGTGATGCTAGCAAGGCAGTGCTACATGGAGAAACGTAGCGGCACAGGAAGCTGCTGATGGGTGATTGCCATGTAGACTTTAAGAGCCCGGTCGACACCCATTAGGTACACTTCACCGCTCGTGTCACACAGTGTGGGGTCGTTGTTTTGATTCACATGTCTGCTAGTTAATAAGGGCTGCATATGTACACGACACCAGCTTTTCGAATCACGGTTACGCGACAATGGATAACCTTTCTTCGACCGTGGACACATTCAGGCAAGAGATCCTTTCTGATGCTTAAAACTATAGGAGACTTGTAGAAATATCGAAGGAGAAAAATTCCAGTACTACCAACGTCAGTTGCAAGATGACGAGGTGCCTAACCGACAGCGTAAGGTCATCATCATTTCTGCGACCACATTCGAGTTTCTTTGGAACCCTTTCGCCCTTTTCCCCGCACCTCGCACAAAGAGTGCCGGAGGTCTTGAACCTTTATCTACTAAGAATGGGCAGAGTCCGTTATATTAATGCTGCAAGATTCGGCTAAAGGTGCCATGATCCGGGCTCGCACAGGCTAATTCACGACCTTCTCATTAGTTGTCTAGCATACCAGCGAAGACTCGTAGTGGCCGTGTCCCCGTAGACACACCTCTTCGCAGCCTGCCTTAAAATGTCGGTTGCAATAGGGTCGGAGGAAACAACGTAATCTGAACGGATAGGTGAAATTGACTGTGCTCGAACGAGCTCTGAAAGTATGGCCCCGGCAGGGTTGCGGTGCAGCGGCGTAGCCTGAGAGTATGGAACACAATTCCGTTCGTAGCTCGGTGTCTCTGATGGGACTAAATGCTTTTACTGGCAATATGCTGGGTTAAAATCGGCAGTTACTAGCTACAGTGACTGGAATTGCGATAGCCTCGCCCTGAGGCACCCTCCCACTCTAATCTAATTCTAGCTGGGGCAGCGCCCACTTGACCATCCATTCAGACTTGAGCACCTCATCTATGGTCAGACGTTGCTCCGGGCGGAACCTCAGCATTCCACGTATAAGGTCAAGAATCGCCCTCGTCTCTTGTTCGTCAAACAGCCCAGCAGCCTCTCGCTTTCTCCTGTACTTTTGTACGAACTCTTCGAAGGCATTGTCAAGACTGGGCCACGTTTCACGTAGACCACTTGGTCGCCGAGGAATTGTTGTAGCACCATAATTGTCTTCGTCTCCCAGTCGTTCAAATTGCCTTCTCCAATCGTCAGGGAAATCTGCCGCACCCAAGACATCAATTTGCTGGGCGGTGATCTCATCTTGGGTCTCCACCTCACTGAAGATAAACTTCATCCCTAATATCTCCCAAATGGCAGTTCCGAGACTCCATATGTCTGAAGGGAACGATAAAGGAACATCAGGCTCAAAAACAGCTTCGGGCGCCTTCTTGGCCAGAGGAGTATTGCATTCCCTCCCAAGCCGCTGCTCCGTAGCTGGGCAGAAGGCCTCACCAAAGTCGCTAAGAATCAAGCCCTGAGCGTCGGCCAAAGTGAAATCTTGAGCCTTTTTCCCAAGATAAAGGGGCTCTACAGCGTATTTTGGAACGTTGGCAGTAATGGGCTTGTCATCGACCCGGGAAATGGGCACTGTTTCAGGCTCGCCGTACTTCTCCCTGAACTCTTGGATTGAAAGTTCGTCAAACGTTGACGGTATCTTGACCAAGACGTTGCGAAGATGAATGTCTATTTTCCCTCTTTGTCAGCCAGTTATGTAACAAATAACCCTGGACAAATTAAAACCGACCTCCATGTACGAAACCTCGTGAGTGAACGGCCGCAACAGCGGTAACCAAGTTTGCAGACAAAGCGCGCGCAACTTGGATGGGAAATAGGCGACTAAATGATGCTTCCTTAAGATTTCCCTGCGCGGGAGTCAAAGTGTAACATGGGTGTAACCCATTCGGTCCGCGAACGTCAAATGAGTCGAGGATGGTTGGCAGCGCCGCGGGCTTTCCCAATGTCGAATGTGATTCATGTAACGCTCTGGGGATCTCCTGCTCCCGGCGAGGAAGCGAAGGAGCTGATATCCCGATCTTGACGGCGACATACCGTTTGTCTACCTCGTCTCGAGCGAGCCATATGGTCGAGTAGCCCCCAAACCCCAGTTTATCAATTATTCGATAGCGATTGTGTAGCAAATCGTCAATCAAAACCGGATGGTACCCGCCGGGCTCATATAGTTCCAGGCGCTCTACCCCGTCAATCCAATGATATTCAATTGTTGAATCAATGCACATGCATGTGGTCGAGTGTCGTCTATGAGAACCAGACCCGCCGAGCCACGTCAAGCGTCTCGCGACTGAGCCAATGAATGGGAGCCTGGATCTGAGGTTTACAGGTCCAAATGTTGAAGTGTTGACAAAGCTTCTACTTCCGCATGTAGGAAAAGAGAATGATGTGACGACTCTTAAGCGGATCATGGTCGAGGTGAAGCATCGCGGATATAGGCTCCGAAGCCGATGATTGACTTGGAAGATTGTTTTTATCAGCGGCACAGCACGACCGAAGCGCGACCGAAGTTTTCGACTTTCTTCCCCACAGTTCTGTTTCAGTAGACGCTACCATTAACGCCGGATTCTGCTTACTAACGGAACGGGAAACGACCCGACTGGTATCAGGGGACATTGGCGACGAAGCCACCAATTCCCACCGACTTTAGCCTGGTATCCTGTGGCTCTTGCACTCCTTAGATTCTAGTTGACACTTAAACAAAGGCAGCCATCATTCGGCGCACAATCAACCTCTGTTATGCTCTGTTGGGGTAGTAAGGAGACCCGACCGGTGTTCGGAATCCTCTTCCCCAAGTAAGTACGCATTTTTGCCTTTGATCTGTGCAGAATTCCACTTAACGCTCATCAAGTGCAGACCTAGCCCACAAAGCCCGATGCAATAATCTATCAATCCAATCACAGGAACACAAAGTATCTAGGTATCAATTTTGGAAGCTTCTGGACACGTAGAGAAGTGCCCTGGTCCGGGTCCCGATACCAAGTCCACTTCCCATTGACGCCGATTTCACCAATGTGACTCGTGTAGACCCAGAGGAACGGAGTAAAAAGGCCTGACATATACCGTGACCTGTCCAAAAGAAACCGCTTGATGACAAAGACGGAAACGCAAGGTTATCGAGCAGTCCATTTAGTAATTATACCAGCCTTGAAGATTCTAACACAACAAGGGAGCGGGCTTCGCTTCGACACTAAGTAATTCGGCATATGTATCGGGACGAGCTGAAAGGGCGTTTAAGGAGATGGAATTCGTGGATCTTGAAAATCCGGATTTATGACTCCGCTGAGAGCTGTGGTGCACGAAAAACAATAATCACAAGCAACTTTATTCGTTTTCAATGTGACGCACTTCTTTGTAGCCCTCTAGTACGGCCATGATCCTGAGTAGGAAGGGCCATTTTGATGGCCTTCAGACCCGTTATATTCTTGCAATTTACGTGCATTCCTGTTTGGACATACAAACAAAATTTGATCTCAGAAACTTACCCAGGATGTACCGTGACATTTGGGCAGTCCTTTCGTGCTCAGTCACGCATTTCCTGCTCTGTCCGCCTTGCCAAGGGCTGATCAGCAACGAGATGAAAATGTCCAGCCCATTTGGCGATTGATATTGGGTCAGATGATCGGTTGTCTCCACAGAAGTAACCCGAGATCGCGCCGGAGAGGCGGATTTCTTGATGTGTGGTCCTATGCTTGACGCTATAGCGGATGCCGCGTACTTCTGAGCTGGCCAAGGATTCGGTGTGGCTGGAAGTGAGGGGTGTAAGAACCACGCGGTCGTGCCACGACACCGGGCCGTGAGGTGAGCCGTGAGCGGGTGGCTTGGCGGAGGCCCGGTCGGTTCGGAAAAGCATCAAGAACCCGCTCGTTTTAGGCCAGCTATGACTTGGCGACAGTTGACAACTTCTCATCATTGCGTGGCATGTTCCGTTAACAGTCTGATGCATTCCAATTGCAGGTAGGCTTGAATCTAGCACCTGTTTACCCACGGCTGCACGGCAGCTTTTACACCGAGTGTTTTCTTGGCGTGGATGAATTTATCCGTGAACGCCACTTTTGTGCCGTCGACACACCGGAGGAGTTCGCCCCATAAATAGTTCCTCTGTATAAACAGATATGCTGAACTTGGATTAATCTAGGTCTCGCTGAGGAGATTATAGAATCCTACCCTATATCTGACACGTCCATCGTGAAGGGGTAATAACAATGCGTGTCAATACCTTCGTCGCGGCTCTCACGGCGCTGGCCAGCTCCCCGCTGTGTGCCGCACACCGCACTCGCCATAGGTCCTCGGCCCTCCCAAAGCGGCCTGTCATCATCCCAGCTCCGTACGGCACTGGGCAGGAATTCCCACCTTCTCCACCCCGAGACAAGGGGCGCTACTGCTACGTCGAGTCAGGAACCAACGGCACCGCCCAAGACGATGCACCGGCGATCTACAAGGCGTTCAAAGATTGCAATTCCGGAGGCACGATTGTTCTCGACCAGACGTACCTGGTCGGGTCGCCATTGGACCTCACCTTCCTTGAGCATGTCGATGTTATCATCACCGGAGAAATAGCGTTCGATGACAGTGATGTGTACTACTGGGCGGCCAACAGCTTCAAATATGCTTTCCAGAACATGAGCTCGTTTTGGAAGGTTGGTGGGGAAGATATCAATATCTACGGTGATCTCAGCAACAACCGCTCCGTGATTAATGGCCGTGGCCAGGCCTACTGGGAGGAGTTATCCAGAAACAGCACGGTAAGCCTCTTGAACTACCCATCAAGGAATAAGATGTGGGATCCACTAACATGCTGGGAAATTAGTTGTTGCGTCCCCAGTTGTTCGTTCTCGAAGGAGGCAAGGGCGTGACTATGTCCAATCTTCGGATGCGCAACTCACCAAATGTGAGTTGCACGATTCATCGAAAGCCCAAGAAGGGCCTAAATGACTAATTATTTCTAGTGGTTTAATATGATCGCAAACTCAACGGACGTGATTATCAGCAACATGGATTTGATCGCCAAGAGCACCGGTGGAGTCAAGATCGCCAATTCAGACGGCTGGGACACGTACCGCTCCGAGCGCGTTGTCATCCAAGACTCGGTAATCATTAATACGGATGACTGCGTGTCGTTCAAGCCGAATAGCACCAACGTAGTCATTCAGAACCTCGACTGCACCGGTTCGCACGGTATCAGCGTGGGCTCGCTGGGCCAGTACAAGGGCGAGACCGACATCGTCGAGGACCTGTACATCTACAACATCTCCATGGCCAACGCCAGCGACGCTGCCCGCATCAAGGTGTGGCCGGGTGTGGAGACCGCCTTCCAGGACCTCCTGAACGGCGGTGGCGGGCTGGGCCGTGTGCGGAACGTGACGTACGATACCTTTTACCACGACAACAATGACCGGGCTATCACCATCACGCAGTGCTATGGGCAAAAGAACCAGAGTCTGTGCAATGAATTCCCGGTATGTCTGAGTCCCCCTAATTGCGCGGTTGCCTGTGCCACTTGACTAACCTCTGCCGGGCAGGCCAACCTCACCATTTCGGATATCACAATGAGGAACTTCTGGGGTACCGTATCATCCAAGTATGACCCGAAGGCCGGAAGTTTGGTGTGTAGCGCAGCGGACGTAAGTGAAATCAGATATCCTAGCCATTCAGCCACCCCGGGGCATTTCTGAAATCGGAAGAGTACTAACCGCTCATATCGTAACAGCGCTGTAGCAATATCGTAGCCGAGGACATTGCCGTCAACGTTCCAAGTGGGGAACCACCTGTTTACGACTGCTCAAACGTTGACCCTGACTCGTTGGACTTTACCTGCGTGGACCCAGAGGGCGACCGAGACACGGGAAGCGGGTAATCTTACAATGTGTATTTAGATGTATAATTGCAGATTATTTAGTCGATCGTACCAGATCATCGATTTGGGTATCGTCGTGTGAAACAACTGGGCTACAATTCGATCGGCGGCGACTTATCTCGGACGCTTTCCAGATTCAGAAGTTGCTGGACAGAACAGCTACGAACCATGGTTACTCTAAACCTAGTAGATTCGTTCCAGCTCCTTCCCCTGCCACATCACCTCCATTAACAATGCCATCTTCGAGTTCCACATTCTCCTGGAACTTTGGGTCCGTGCCACCAGTACGTTTGATCCTATCAACGTCAAATGGGCGGTTCGCTGAGCTTGTCGATCGTAATTTCAGTTCAATCGATAACCTATCGTCGTTGGGCACAAGTCTGCCCTCCTGTACCAGACTGCTGCAAAAATATGTGGACTTTCGATGCTGCCGAGTGCGAGTTCCACCAGACTGTCACCATAGTTCAGGCATCTCGATATACGGAGTATATCAAAGCGCAAGCTAATCCCGTTTAACTTTCACTCGTCACGATTATGTGGTGCAGATATTCCTTAAGGTCTATCAGTATGACGCTGCAGACGTTATTGGCAATAGTTCTTCCGGAACACGTCCCCGCGGACATCCTTGCACTAAAAGGGTTAGCCTCCAGGGCCCTCTCGTCAAAGTCGAAGCATCCTGGACCTGCCATGACTCTCGTGAAATATCCCGATGGCTAGGAGGCTGGGAGGCCGCCAACATTATGCTATTGCTTCAAGTTCTTTAGTGTTTCAGATCTGCCTTCACAATACGCAATGCATATGTCTTGGCGTGTTGTGTGTTGGATTGACAACCATTAGTGCTTTGTCTTGCTCTTGTTCGGCGGCCGGCACCTACAACGGCGGCAGGCATTCAAGACGACTCTACGTGGAAGTCGAAATGTTACGGTCATCAGAACACCCAGGCTTCCTCCTAAGCCGCGTGCCTCGCAGTCATGCTTCTTGAGAATATTGACTAAAATTACCTAGATATCGAACAAATGACGAACTTGAGCTACTTTTCGAAAGGCAGGATTGTGTCGACGAGTGTACTGAAATGAACATTTATAGTTCTTTGACTTGACTTGGCTCCACTGAGTCCGGTGTTATGTATCAAGATGAAGTCCGCGACCTTTCCCACTGAAAGGTCACTGCATTTCCCACTCGCGATGCGCCTAGGTAGTTTAACATGGATCGTATTAGCCCAACATCATACCATCATACGATGAAAAGTCATGATTACGGAGCGGTAGGACCTTGGACAAAGGAGCACTGGTTTCAGTCTGGTATTATGGGCCTTGGCCGCACTTTCTCTGAGAGTGGCTCGATCCTGATCGCACGGAAATAATTATAATCACAATTTGAAAGTCGAGCCTCGTTCAGGCGAGGTATTCTATCTATATCACTATATACAATCTGTCTTTCTTCACTTTGTACAACTAGCACCGTGCCGTTCTTGCTCTATCTACATTGCCATGGCTTTGCGGTAGTAGTTTCGAAGAACCGCCACAAGAAATACCACCAGCCATGACAAAACAAACAACACCTCATTTGAGATCTTGCGAAGATTAGATTTATTAGACCCACCAGATGCCTCCTTTGACACAGCACGAGGTTGCGTGCCCCAAGAGCCATCCAAGACGGTAATGAGCGACCAAACAATGATGCCAGGTGATAGTACCAGGAACCACACAAGCGCGGGAACAAGCCAGATTAGGTCTTGCACAAGAGTATCATTTGGCCCAAGGAAGACGAGATACGCCACCTGCAGTGAGAGGCAGCAGAACACGTCTACTGATAAGACCATGTCAGCAACGGCGCGGTCCAGGATGCCGCCCACCAGGCTCCGGCCCGTCAAAGCGGAGCTGACGGCCATGCAGAAGATGAGGATCGGTATCAGCCGCGACTTGAGGATGGTGAAGATGTGCCACGGAGACAGGCGCCCGACCATGCCAGGGTACCATATTGTCTCGATCATGGTGCCTCTGGACCAGCGAACCTGCTGCTTGACCCAGGCCGAGAAGGTATCAGGCGTGTCGGTGTAGACGACGGCGTCTGGTACATGGTGCACGTCGTAACCCGCCCAGAGGAGTCGCGTCGTCAAGTGTCTGTCTTCATTTGTGATCTATACGGCGTCACGAGACCAGTATTAGCAGCCTGAAAATATAGGACTAGGGCTCATCTCCACAGGGATAATGCCAGTGGGGGTGCTTGCGTACCATTTTCCGTCCCAACACCCGCTGACAATACCACGGGACCAAAATCTTGTTCAGCGCAGACGCTCGGAAAGCACCAACTGGGCCTGGTTGGCATTCGTTGGTTCCAAACATCGCCCCTTGTATCTTGTAGACGTCTTGCTGGAACCAATAATATGACGTCGCAATCTTGGTGATGAAGGTAGGATTGGGGTGGAAGAACCGCATATGGCCCGAAACCCCACCAATATTCGTGTCGCTGCTGAGCTTCCTCGCCATCTTGGGTATGGCGTCTGGAGATACGGTCGAGTCAGAGTCAGTGCTGAAGATGAGATCGGTAGACTGTGCCTGAGCAAGGACTGTTCCGACGACTAGGGTTGTGAACAAGATATCCTTCTTTGATCGATGTGGTTGAACAATGCATATGGCTCCAATATCGCGTGGGTGATTCGGAAGTAGCTCTTCGGTAAGGAGGTCCAAGACATGACTCCGTAGACGATCCATGATAGCTGCTTGTCCAGCTTCATCGTGGAGCAGGTCGACATCGCTTAAAGCCGCTAGATGTTCTAGCGTGTCGGAGAGAGGTTGAGCCATGCGAAACACGACCCCATCAGGAAAGACCTAGAGGTTGTGCAGAACGTCAGCGATGAGATCAAGACTGGAACTTGTGCGCGAGGGCAGGTGGTGTGTAGGCTCTCAATGACTTACCGTGTGGAAAACATTGATCATCCGCTCATCTTCAGCCTCATCGCCGTCGATACCTGCTACAACCGTGGTACAGCTTTGTGTACTCTGCAGGCTCTCGAGGCATCGGGCATAGAGCTCTTCATCCTCACGCCAACCAACCGCGCACCCAATAACGTTAGGTTCCCCATCGATTGTGTTAGGACTTGTATCTGTGGGGCTGCCTCTAGGCTCTTTGGTTTCTTCCAGCTCATTCGGCTCTGCTGCCGCTAGCTGAGGTGCAAGACTCTTGCCAGATGTGATCTTGGCATCGGAGTTCAGGTGTGTGTACAGAAAAGTCAAAAGAAGAGTAACAACAGCATCAACTGTAAGGATCAAGTAGCCCAATTTCAACAGGCCAAATGCACCGGCCAGAATACCCCAAGTCGCAGCAATTCTGAGCACTGTGTTCACAATGCCCGGTGGTAACAGCCGAAGCATCTTTTACTTGGGCCTGTGAATATCCAGCGGCAACCAAACGACGATAACGATGTGATGAGTGATCGAATCAAGACTCTTCCCAGCTTCCAAAGAAAAAACGACAGATGTAGCTGCTGCCCATAGGTCCCATAGGTCCACCCTCGCAATTATTGCGGATAGTGACATTGCCACCATCGGCTATTGCTCAGCAACTTCTACACGCCTCAGCCGACAGGATCCACTATCGTGAGAAACGTACGCCGTCGGAGTTTCGACGTTTTCGGAACAAAGTTTGGGGTTCTCTGGGTCTGTGGATCATTAGGTGAACTACTATGCTAGATTAGGTTGATCTGCCGAGCTAAACTGAACAGATCTAGGCCTGAGTGGGCCCCCCCCTCTGGTGTCCTGCGTTTCATCTCGACTTCTCAGAGCCAAGTGATGAAACCCACCAGCGACTTTTCGTTGGCTAGACCCATGGCAGCCGCGCCGAACCTTAAACTCCAATTAGGTACCCACCACGTTGCTTGTTGTACGCTGAACTAGTCAGTCTTCGGTAACTTGCCGGGCGCTATTCGGAGCGGGTCCCGCCGTGGCAACATCAACCTCGGCACGCCCGCCCTGTCAACGCCCGGGGCACGGAGTCGTGTCAGCCTTGGCGCATACTCGCCTCTGACAGTACAGTCCACTCAAGTTTCAGTCATTTCAGACTGGTCGAGAAAATGTTAACGATCGCGATGGATTTGACTCGAGGTTGCCGTCATCTTATAGACACTTGCGACGCGGCGAGACCCTTTACTATTGCTAATGAGACCGAATATCGTACCAATCCCTTCTCGGTGACTTCCGAGTTGGGCTGCTTCTGATAACACCCAACCGGAAACGAATCAGTTTTGCCACATGAGAGGAACCTGGCAGTTTCCGGTATCAGGATAATGAGGCCCATCATACGAGCATGGGGGAGCGCCGAAATTAATGAGACTTTCCCTGGCTCTTGCCCCCGCCTCATGTAATGTCGTGATGCACCTCGCCCCTCTCACCGCTACCATTGCCTGAGTCGTTGGGCCTTGTCCAAGGCGGAGGCAGTCGTCACCATACAATCCTCTCTTTTTCATATCTCATTAAATACGGCAAGAAATTCGGTGTCTTGTATGCGAGTAACTGAGTAACTCTGGTAGGACACAGCATCTAAGCTTACAGGCAACGAACATGGCCATCATCCAATGGACAATAGTGGCGGCCTCCCTGGCCATGCAGGCCTGGGGACACACACTCATGCAAAACCCGATTCCTTTCCCTAGCCAACTAAAGAGTAATGGCCCGATGAACAAAGATGGCTCAAATTGGCCTTGCAGTGGAGAGACGGAGTTCGACCCTGATGGGATCATGAACATATGGGAGCGAGGCTCGACACAGCACCTACAGTGAGTTCACTTATCTCTTCTTTCCGTTTCCACTATCCTGTGTTCATCTCTTGTTCCCACTTCCTGGCGGCAGCATGGGACGACTCGTTATCCCGGCTATCACCCCTCCCCAGCCCCTCCCATCCGCTTTCATGCCGGCCAGTACGGCAGCAGACCATAGTCATAGGACCATCTTGGCTAATGTTAACGATTCAATTTTTCAAGGGCCATGGGAGGTGCATCACACGGAGGCGGATCATGTCAGATCTCCGTGACATATGACCTCAAGCCCACGGTGAAGTCCACCTGGCGCGTCATCCACTCGATACAAGGCGGCTGCCCGATACGCGGCTTCCCCGAGACCAACTACGGCGATAGCGCGACAACCGTACTGCCAGATATCTACAACTTCACCATCCCAGACTGGCTGCCGCTAGGCAGGGCTGTCATGGCTTGGACGTGGTACGGCCGCTGGTCTGTGCCGGAGATGTTTATGAACTGCGCGCCCGTCATGGTCCTCGGCGGGAGGGGGCCGAACACGCCCGCCAGCCTCGACATCAGCAGGGATGACAGCGAGTTGTCAGCTGCGTGGGACCGTGCGCCGCTCATGTTCGAGGCTAATAACGGGAATGGCTGCTGGACTGCGAACAAGGGCAGTTGCGTGGAGTTCCCCGAGCCCGGCGAGTCCCTAGAGATTAACGATGAGTGTCCGATCGATCGGGAGCACATGTTCACCGGGACATGCGGCCCCAGGCAACGACTCGCTGAGCTCCACCGTCCCGCACTTGATGGTCTCCCTTCTGGGATGTCGGAGAGACCCTTCTTATCTATCTTCGTCATCATGGTTGCGGGGCTGCTATGTGCCTCGGTAGTGACGGTGGTCCTCAAGCGGAAGCGAAGTGGGGTTTTGTATAGGAAGATTTCACATATTTGAGGGACGTTATATTTGTAGCAACTGGATGGAGTATTTGTTCTATCGGAGGACTCGGATGTTCCTAGGAAACGGCTCAATGTAGTAATAAAACCGACCAATTGACAAGGCGCGTCGCACTCTGATGGTTAACTCAACGGCGACACACACAGGGTCACTGTTTCTACGTCTGTTCAGAATCATGAGCTTGACTCGGATGCCTGCTTCGCACCCACGACATATGTGAAACGAGTCTGCGAGGGTCTCATCTATTTCCCTCGTAGAATCCCCTCACATAAGCTTTGTTTCTTGTTTACTTTTTTTAGGGCGGGGGGGGGGGAGGAAGCAAGTGCCGGATACGATTTATAAGTTAAGAATCAACAATCAACTCACGAATGTAGTGACCCTTTGTGGGGAGACAGGGTCGTTGCGGCGGGTCTCGGACCGAGTCCTATTTCCTATAAGGTTTTGACTGCAGATAGTCTTGCCGCTGCCATACGGTTCTGTGTCTCTCCGGAGGTCAAGAACTCGGCACAGAATATTTAATAAGCTTCGTGCGAGCTCCGGTGTGACGAAGCAGGCTCGATCGTTCCACGTGTAGCTGCTTCTGCTCCAGATTCGCTGCGACATTCTTTGCAACCAGCCAGCGGTCTGGGGCCAAAAGGATAATAAAGGTCTTCAGATGACGCTATCATGATACCTGCAGATATACTAGATAAGCATCTAGAGGTTAGAAGAATCCTAAAATGTGAGTCTCGCCGCTCCTGGGAGAAGTGAGCTTTGTTTAATGTTGCTCAAAGGTGATGTTGGCAGGCATTCATGACAGGAGTATTAGCTGATTGAAATTGGGAGTTGCACCGGTATACTGACACTACCGGTGTAGCAATGATCGCAACATATTGGGGCATCCATGGATGCTGTCCTCCGTTGCAGATATTCCATCAAGACTGCCCAAGTCTAGCAAGCAAGTCCAAAGACCTTGGCAAGGCAACCTAACTAGACTCAGGACAGACACTACCATACCGTTATCTACAGGCAGCCCGCAAGAGTTGCGAAGGCCCGCAAGACTTACCTCATTTTCAAGACTTATCCTCAGCGCAAGAGTTGCGCCTACCGCAAGAGTTACCCTTCCACAAGAGTTAGAGAATTTAGGTATAGAAGTTATATAAGGACTTTTTAGGAAGAGAAGTACATACCTAAAGGAAGAGGTAGGTACGAAGAGGTAGCCACGAAGAGGCAGTCACGAAGAGGCAGTCACAAAAAGGCAGTCACAAAGACCTTAACTAGATTAGAGATTAGATAATCTAAACTATCTAAGTATTAAGTAGGTAGAGGTTCCTAAAAGAGGGATTAGAATAACTTTAGAAACAAAATCCTTTTCAATTAGTCTTCACACCTAAAAGTAAGGCAGCTTTTAGATCACCAAAGTCTCCTCACATAACTTTTACACCTTAATTCTCTAACTCTTACAAAAGAGGATAACTCTTACAATAGGCACAACTCTTACAATATACACAACGCTTACTGAGGGCCGCAACGCTTACAGATCCCCCCTTTTTACCAGTACAGTAGCTATCCAATAAACTACTTGAATTCGAGCAAAATTCGGCTAAACCTACAGTTTCACTATAATCCTCATCAAAAAGTCTGAGCCCAGACACCGCGATTACCATCGAGGTACATACCCCAGCAACCACAGGTGCTGGTGTGTCAACTCCAAAACCTTGAACAGCTGCTTCTATGGCGCTGGATCCTGCGACTAGTTTGGTCAACAATTCCACCACTATTGGAAGGATGTCATGATAGATCTTCCTCTGGCGTTCGCAGAAGGAAAGCGCAATCTTCCCAAGTTGTTGGGCGACGAAGTGCCGAATTATGGGATGGTAAGGGTCTGTAAACCAGGCTTCCTAGTATCTGGGGGAGGTATTGGGCTTTGTCTCGGGTAAGGATTCGCTGGCTTGGTTACCAGATAATATTAAGTAGCAGGACATAGTGTTTTCGGGGGTGCTTTGGGCGTTGTTATAGGTGCGATAGGGCTCTCCACTAAGGTGTCTTCGGGTAAGTGTCCTCAGGTGTATTCGAGCTCCTAATTAATTGGATGAATCAATGCATAGCTTCTAGCTGTATTTAGCGTAGTAGCATATCCTGGTTCTAGAATCCACTAGAGCATCCACTGTAAAGAACAAGACTCGAAAAGCAAACTTAAAGGCCCGTCAGTAGGAGGCCGCTCACTATCGCAGGAATTCCAGGGAGACAGTACCTAATAGTGACACCATTTTTCAAGGTCTCGAGTTGCTACAAACATACCAAGTCTCTTCCTAGCAGGCAATAATTTATAGGAACTTAGTTAATAAGTGGCTAGGGCCCTAGGATTTCAGAGATGCTATGAGCCTTAGAATAATGATAAAATACTTTAAGACCCTAATTACCTTAAATAGTCCATGTGCTAAAGACTTTAAACATTCCGTCTAATATTATATTTATATATATCCTATCTTATAATACTAATAACTAGGTGTTTGTAATCTACTACAACCTAATCTAAGTGAGGATTAATATAGTAGCTTCACCGAGTAAAACGCTCCACTTTATAGGTATTAGTCTAACGTATAGTTAAGTAGTAGTGGAGTTAGGTGGTTGATTAAGCTTTAGAGTGCAAAACTAATGCTCTAGATAGGTAGTTGAGTGGCTGACTAAGAAATTTCAATTAAAGAACTACCTTACCTATAATCGGGATTACTACAGCAGATAAGAGACATGGTGTTCTAAGGTATCATAGAAGAACGGGGTTACGAGCTTAAGGTTGGGTAGGGGTCTCTGTGTTGGGCATCTGGGTCTTTAGCGTGGCAGCGCTCTTTTAATAAAGATAACGAATGATTGGGATAAAAAGCATAAAGCCGGCCACAGGACAAATGCTGCGCTTTATTTATGAATACTTGATAATAATATGAGACCAAAATAATCCCTCTCGGCGCCTAGCTACCTAGGTACTTCTCTGTACCTAGACGGCAGAGCATTGTGCATCGCCTAGGGCAATCTCCTTTCTTTGCTTCGCACCAACTTGCCATGAGACGTCTCGAATTCGGTGAACCCCAATACGTTCCCCAACATTCATAGCATAGATCTGCTGAATCTCCTGAATAGTCCTGCTCAGCCACCGAAGTTCGCAAAGACTCCTCCAGTCCAGAGCTGGTCGCATCAGAAGTTCTTCGCTGTTCTCAGCATCGGATAGGTTGGGAGGGAATCGCACACAATTTTCGGTTTCGGACCGCTGCGCCTCACAGTGTCTGACGCCCACCACATGCAGCATCTCATGGGTCAGAATGTTGATGAGATTGCGCTCCAGAGCTTCTTCCCTAGCAGTGGAGATATCCTCGCGAACAATCGATGTGATAAATTGTTCTTGGTCTTCACTGAGCGTGAGGGCTGGCTTGAAGACGTCTATGTACCAGTCCTTGGGGTGTGAACCAGGGAAGAAGGAATTGGCGTAGAGCGGATAGTCACCGCCGAACCTGACGAAGAAGGCGCTGTGAGATGGATTGGCTACATAGCGAAATTTCGGGCCAACATTGCTGGCATTGAACTTGTCCAAGACTGTAATCAGACATGTTTTTATCATGAGCCTCTGCTCGTTTGACTCAAAACTTGAGAGGTTGATGCCCACAGGAATCGGGATTTCATTGGGGTGCCAACGATACACAGAATTGTCGGGATTAACGTGGTAGTTTAGGCCCCTTGATCCCAGCGTGAAGGTGGTTGAACAGAGGCTTGGAGCGAGTGCCTGGACGAGAGTTGTCTTGTGTTTCGACCCATGAAGCTGCTGGACGGACATGAAATGTTAGCAGATTCCATAGAAACTCAGCTTCATGGTACGCGAAAAGATTCATGCTATGAACGCATACCTGGGATGACCGAGAAGCCTCCAAATGACCAAACACAATGCAGATGATGTCGTCAAACTTTCTGAGATCAAGTTCATAATAAATTGAAGGCAACGGAGGGCTAGAGGCATAAGGAGCGGAAGAATCGACAGAGTTGAACCTTGGATCAGTGTAGCATCGCGTTGGTGTCATTGGACCATGGCTGACGACTCCTGGGTTGTGTCCAATGTACCAGGATGGTGGAGCCAAAGCCTCGCTCATTGACAGGTATTGGCCCGTTGCTGGAGACAGCCCATTCTCGGCAGATGGCAGAGTCATGGAAAGGGCAAAAGGCGAGGGAGTTATCATGACCATTTGCGTGGGTCGCTAGAACGGCGGTGCGGGCTGATTAGCAGCTGGGCACGATCCGGGTATTTGTGAATGAAATAAGCCCTAAACAACTCGTTGCACCTGGAAAAGACTGTGTCAATTTGAATGACATCGGTTGACTGGGATAGCAAGAACTCGGGCAGAATAACTCTGGAGGAAGCATGAGAAATAAGAGGGAGCAGGGAGTGGAAGGGTCGGAGTATGTTTTGGAATTTATAGACGCTGCCTGCGAGTCCGTCTGGACTCATACCAGTTGACGTGAGGTGTTGTACAGTCCGGCCGGTTGACATGTCAGATGGCTGCACTAGTACTATTCGGTAATGTGGCGCGCGTAGCCAAGCTTTACCGACAGGACTCTGATGCAGCCTGCAGTGCAATTCAAGCCGAATGCAACGCTGCTCGATTGTTGATTGGGTGACTGGTTGGATACATCACTGCATGAATATTTCTTTCTAGGGGATCTAATGGGACGATTGTAACCGCTTCGAATGGCCGGCAACCTCCTCAACGCAACCGAAAGCGGACGCGCGAGTTAGCCCTGCAAGATACTCCTCGGGACGTTAAGCAGCTGGATCGACCTCAACTTGGACCCAACATCGGCCAAGCAAAGAGGTTATGTTGATGTTCGATAATACCGCAGCTATCATCACTCAAGTCCGCGTTACCCTGTTTGACGACACGGATGATGTGTGCACCCTTAATCAAGATTGGCCATGATTTGTATTGTGCGGAAACATACCTAAGTAACAACAGTACAGTACCCAGCCCACTGGCACGGCAAACTTGGGCAATTGCGGTGGAGTGTCGACCAAAGGTGGAAGGTACCTGATTGTACGCTTCACTTCCGGCTCAAAGGAGACAGCAGGGGAAAATTGTCCCAGGAGTAAGCCTTGTCTCAGCAGTGAGCAATGTCTCAGGGGCGAAAGGTGGTGCTTAGAGGCGCAAAGGCAGGAGATGTAAGCAGATAGGAGAGGTAAGCCTTGTAAGCACCTGCCGCGGGATTTGAAGTGGTGACGAGGTGCAGTTCGAGTTACACGGCAGCCGAGCTACCCTGTAATAGACCGATTCTCCGGGATTCAACTGGAGTGGCACCTGCTGACGGAAAGGGAAACCAAGAGCCTCACTTGGCGCGGCCCGACGGCCACCTACGAACCTGGTGTATGGCCATGTTCGAGGCTTGGTCAAGCTATTGGTTCCCCAAGCATTGAGTTAGAAAGCGGCGGCTGGTCAAGCCCTTTACAGGCTATGTGTGGTTTCGCTTCTATTCCATATACGTGTGAGGACATATATGGCGCCTTCATATGTTGGTAGGCACTCAAGACCCAGCGCTTGAATAGAACAGGGTGTCGATAACGATAGTCATAATACGATAGGTGCTTGCGGCCTCAGCCTTGCGACGCACACAACGCTAACTTTCATTTTATAAGGTAGAATACTGAAACACTTTGACTGAAAGGGATTGAATGAATGTACTTCTCATTCTTATACATGTTTCCGAAGATCCACCACGGTGAGCTCAACTTCCAATGTGATTTCCAATGGCAATTTTCATGCATAGCCTCAACTTACAATGAGCTCCTGTGATTGCATGGAATTTCCGACAGCGAGTCAACAGATGATCTGCAACCAGAACATGAGATGGCTCAGGTCATGAGAACCAAATTTCTTTACACGCGGCAGGTTAATGGGTAATAAGCTGCAAAAGCATTTGCAAGCTGTGAGGCTTGCGACTCACTGCCTTCTCTAAAATATACATTCGGCTTTTACAACCCTCCAGTGTTATCATGTCGTTCATAGCTTTAAATATATATGATCGATAGTTCGAATAAACGCAAGCTTCTTTTTAAAAAACAGAAAAAAGTTGTACTTGCTTGAAGAATAAGTTATGATATCTGGGCTTCCAATTATTATATACTACAATCCAGTGCCGCGCAACACATGCCAAGGTAACCCTGATTCTGTCCTATGGAGACAGATACAGGGGGTTTTGGGAGACACTGTTAACTCTGGTTCCAAATCTTAGCGACAATGAATCTGTCAACAATGATTTGGGCACGCTGAAACACTGACTAAGGGCATTCAAGGTGATCTTGATATATGTGCTAGGCGCTGTCTGTTTATTTAATGCTGACTTAAGTTATATATCGCTAAAGGGGGCGCAGTTGTTGATGAATGCTAAGGAGAAGTAAGTGACTATTATAAATTTAGGTTCTTAAAAAGTGATAGCTACCCTAGAAATATGAAGTAAGGCTTCCTCTAACTGAATTCTAATGTTTGCAGGTATTATAAAAATTATAAGAAATAACTACCTTTTTAAGTATATCTTTACAATAACAGAATTAAGTATCAAACATAGTGGACTCTTTTAAGCTATTAGTCCCTTTTGCTTGTTTTTATTTTAGGTATCTATGTGTTAAAGAATTCGGTGTACATGTACGGGGATAGAAACGAAACCAGTTGTAGACCAGTTGACATAGTACATAGTGCATCGAGCGCACAGGCTTGCGCTAAGATGCATCTTGTTCATCCCGAGCTAAGGAGTCTGTCTAAAATGAAGTCCCGTGACGCAATTGGTTTTGTGCTGGGCGGTTTTCTTCGGCTATTCAATGTGAATAACATTTGATCTGGATGTGAATACGCATTCTCCTATCCGATTAAGGTCGACCTAGAGCGTTGGATGCGATAAACTACCAGGTTAAGCATACCGTGGTGTAGCTAAATTTGGGCCAACCTCCCAGGTAGCGTTCAGGAGTTTCGCTGATACCGAGGCAGCTAACCCGAACTTGCACAAACTGGTCCACCCGAACGCCACTAACGCCACTGCTCGGCGAGATTAGAGATGCCGAGGCCTGCATGAATCTTGGCAACGTCTGCAAGATTGAGTTCTGTACCTGAGCAGAGCCCGGCTCCGAGAGAGGGCACGATAATCCCCACATCTGACATAAAATAGTTGAGTGGTCGGTCCATCAAAAGGTCAAGAATGTAAAGGAACAGCCGGAGTCATGAACAGTTTTCTCAGATTTCGCTCCAAGTATCGTAAATCACATTTGATCAGCGACAGACCACAGACCGTCCTCGCCCCGCTTTTCCAAGTCCGAGATATCCACTCTCATAGCCGTGATGCCGTAGTATCCGGCGTTCGGTCCCAAGGCTACTGGAGGCCGTAAGTGATCATGACCTCTATAGTATCAGTATACCGCAACCAAGTATCGCCTTTTCAGCGAGTCAGAAATCGTGGGCGGCTCTGGCTCCCATTTACGTAGCGCGAGGCGGCGCGAAACTTTAAGGTTGCATCTGCTTTATCTTTACTGGGTGGACCTGTCCTGACATTATAAGCCTCAATCCACATCCATGCATCCTAATGAGGCTTGACAAGGAGTTTCCCGTCCAAAAATGGCACGACAGCTTTGTAAGTGCTCCACAACGGCTACTACGCAACCCCTAACCAACGGCCAGAGCTCCATTCCAGGGAGTACATAATGGGATTGTTTCCTCGACCCTTCGAGCAGTCTTTGGCTCTTTCGATCCGGTACCAGCATCAGCTGCACTCACTTTCGTTTTGATCCGCCAAGATGGAGGTAGCCACCGTCGACGACCCGAAGTTCGAGTATCAGACCGCCACTCTGAACGGGGTCAAGTATAATTACATCCAAGCAGAGCCGGCGTCAGGCAAGGTGGTCGGTACCATTTTCCTCATCCACGGGTGGCCGGACCTGTCACTGGGATGGCGAAACCAGATCCCCTTCCTCACCTCCAAGGGTCTGAGGGTCATCGCCCCGGATATGATGGGCTATGGCGGGACTGATGCGCCTGAAGACCTGAGCTTGTAGTGAGTAAATTCTCGACACACATTCACAGAGTGCCTGCACTACTAACCATCTAACCTTAATAGCACTTTCAAGCGCACCTCAGACGACATCGCCGCCCTCGCCAGTCACCTCGGCCTTTCGCGCATTATCCTCGGCGGCCACGACTGGGGTGGAGCCATCGTCTATCGCGCCGCACTGTGGCAGCCGGACCTGGTCGCCGCCTTCTTCGTCATCAGCACACCCTTCGCCGCTCCGCGCGCCACCTACGTCGACCAGGCCCTCGCCCTGCCCACGCTGCACTACCAACTGCAGTTCCGCACCGATGCCGTCCAAGATTACATCGGCCCCGTTGATGCGCAAAACGCCACGCGCGTCCGGCAGATCCTGAACACCATCTATGGCGCAACGCTGCCCGATGGTGGGTCTGCGTTCAACGCTAGTGGTGATGGGTTCACCTTTGAGCTGCTTGACCAGGTGACGGAGGACACTCCGCTCCTGAGCACGGAGGAGTTGGATTTCTACGTTGACACCTACATGGCCGACCCTTTCAACCGCACCCTGAACTGGTACCGGACCGGAGAGCTGAACTGGGAGGATGAGAAGGTGTTCGTGGCCGATGGGGCTGCGTACGCGGCCAAGTACGCGCAGCCTGGGCTTTATATCGGCGGAACTCAGGATCCGGCGCTGCCACCAGTCTTGTCGACAGGCATGGAGGCATACTTCGACAGCCTGTCCCGTGGCGAGGTGGATGGTGGGCACTGGGTCATGTGGGAGAAGCCGGAGGAGGTTAATGGTTTCGTTGGCAACTGGCTGACCAGCTCTGTGCTCGGAAACTTGACTATCGGTCTCAACCTCACGGCGGGAATGGGAGCTGCAAGCGCTCTTGCGATCCGGTAATAAGCGCCGCTGCTCTTAACCAGAAATAATGTGAAGAGTGCACATGCAACTTTGAAGGTCCACCAATGGCCTCTGGTGTTGTTGCGCACTTCCAGAGTGTTTCTAGAATACTTTAGGAGCTGGAATATACCACCATCCATAATTAATCTATTGCCAATCCTTCGTGTCTGTTGTACGTTTCGGCCATCTCTGTATGTTGAGCATGCAGGCAGCGACATCAACCATCTTACTCAGCCTTCCCGCGCAAGCTCAGTGAGCAATCTCTGTGCACCGTAGCAATGTTGTACATGATCCAGGAAGTCAACCGTAGAATACGCTGTTCTGGCCAATCGGCTCAGCTCTCGATCAGGCTCGACGCCGTCTGGCAGTATATGAGCGAGAACATCGACTGGCAACCGACTACGATGGTCGTCTGTCCACTCGCAGCCCCGACACCAGTGACCGTGCTCGATCTCGCCCGAACTCAAGAGCGAGTCAAATCGGATTGACGCCCGCCCGAAATAACGGCCGACCAGGCTGCTGCCAACGTCTGGTACCAAGTTCGCATCAAAGTATCCCTCTGACGATAGCAGAGTTCGTAACTGCCTTGCACTATAAGCTCCTGGTCCGGTGATGGGCCATTCAGCAAGTGCTCCCCGAAGTCGTTCCGCAGACCCGTATTTTGACATCGCTACCTCCAAAGCGTCGGCCACGGCGACGAGGCTCGCACTACCCCATTCGAGCTGCCGGATTCCGTATCGACCTGGGATGCTCCACATGACAGGAAACTGTTCTTGATCCGCTTCAGTCAGGCTGAGAGCTTTGCGAGCCACCCCGACAGGAACCACCAGCCGCTCCTTTCTGAACTGTAGGCACTGCCAACAAGTCCTGCTACAGGTAGGGAGGAACAGGAACGCTCCATATCCTGAGCATGTCTCGCAGGACTGTGATCTTAAGACGCCGTGTAGCCGGGATATCGAATGTCGGCGGATGATTTGGGTCCTGCTTAGCGCCGCCAGGGCATCGGCGGCATGAGTCAAGAGATTTTGGTATGAGGAGAGAGATCCCGAAAAGACATGTGCCCGGAAGCAAGTCTGTGAGAAACGGGTCAATGAGAGCACATCAAGCTGCTCCAATATCTCATCGAGTAGCTCGGCGGGCAACGCGTCGAAGGCGCCAATGAATGATGGTCGGTTTCGGGTGTTCAAGGAGACCGAGGGGCCGGGCGGATCGACTATTGTGATCATCGACTGAGTCATAACCTTCGGTTGATGAGAAAGCTGAGCCACAAGCTTGTCTCTCTCGCTCCCGTGGCGTGACATTGCGGGCGTGGAGTTTTGAGGTTGCCAGCTTTGAGATTCGTGTTCGGCCGTCGAGGCTTTCTCAGAGCCGCAGTCCTAAGGAAGAGCTCGACAGGAGTTGCTTTTATTAGCCGTTGCGGGCCAATTATTAGGTCAGCAAGGATGGTCGGCGTGTCTACCGTCCGCGTGGTAGGCGCTGCAGTGTAACCACCCACCGCCTAAAAGGCGGTGAGGCAGCTTGCGTCGATCATCAGCGGCCTACTAGTAGAACCTGACAGCACTGAGATCAGATAAACATACTAGAGATAGAGCCAGCATCCACATACCCAGCGTTTCCGTCCATACACCCACTATTTTCTATCTATATACCTAGTAACTATTTTTCTTAGTAACTCCCTTATATTTACAAGTAATTTTTAAGTTAATATTAAGAATATCTTAAGGTATTTTACTTCTTTAAATTTTTAATGTTTTTAATGTAAGCTCCTTTTAACACTCTTTTTAAAATCTTTTACTTTTATTTTTTTACTTTATTTTTAACACCCCTTCTAAGTTTTAACCTATATACTTTTAGAAACTAATTAAGTATTTAAATATTAATTAAAGATTAAAAAGTTAAAAAGTAAGATAATAAAGATAAAGAGAACGGATATTCGTACTTATAAAAATAGATAGTATACTTACTTATACTTTTTTTAAATTTTTTAAGAGTTATTTATTAATATATAATTATATAAAATATTATTTTCTTTAATTCTATTTTTAAATACTTATATATATAAAACTAAAATTAATTAAAAATTATATTTATATTTATCTTTATATTTTTAATTAATTAATAATTCTTATTAATTAAACTATTAGTTAGCTTTTAATAAAGTTATAAGGATATAAAAGTATAATTAAATACTTCATTTTTATATTATAATTTAATATTACTTTTATATTTAAAAGAAATTCTATTTAAAGTTAAAAGAAAGTTATAATATAACCCTTTTATAACATTTAAAATTTACTACTATTTATAAAATATTAATTTTATAATAATAATTATAAAGTTAAACTTTATATTATTATAAAATAAAAATTTAAAGGATATTTAATATATATATTTTATATATTATTAATTTAAATTAAGTTAGTATTTAAATTATATAGTTACTTTTATAGCGGGTATTAAGACGGTCCTTATAACTTATAGTAAAAGAAGGCTTAAATTGTTTATAAAGAATTATTAATTTAAAACTAGAGTTACTTAAAGAATAGTATAAGGGAGGTAGTGAAGCTATAATTTTACGTTATAAGAGGTATAGAGGCTACTTAGGCTAATAAGATAAGTAAAGTGCACGGACCTACTGGTTAGTCCTATAGGCAGTTAGCCTATAGCCTTAATAGGTATACTATTCGTTTTTATAGGTGTAAATATCCGTTCTTAAAATAAAAACTATACTCTTTCTAATCTTTTAATATTTTTTCAACCTTTTAACCTTTTAAAGTTCTCAACTTTTTTATTTTTAATTAATATATAAACATTAAATTAATACTTAAATATATAAGTTAAAAGGGATATTAAAGGGATTAAAAGTATATTATAAAATATATTAAAAAGAGTATTAAAAAGAGTTAAAAAAGTTTATACCTTAAATATTAAATTTTTTTTAATAAGATTAATAGTTTTATATAAGTCTTATCTATAAAAATAGGTACTAGGTGTATAGATAGAAAATACTAGGTATATAGATAGAACCGCTAGGTGTATGGACGCTAGGTCCTAGAGATACTATCACATACTAGAGACGGACTCTACGGTGAGGTGACTTGACCACAAGAAAGGATGTATGCAGAAGCCCAGGTCAGGGATGGCCTGCATGTGTAGCCAGAGGCGGTAGCAGGTTTCTGCCTTTCCCAATGATGGCCACAGAGTGCCTTGGAACCTCACGATCCCGTCTTTCCCACATGTCGCAAGCACAATAACCCATTTAAAAGCTAATGATCGTTGAATGGGATGGAATTATGCCATAACAACTTTATCTGACGCTGCTTGCGTAATCAGTGTTCCGAGAGATCTGTGCTGTGTTTGATCAGAGTTGGTTTCGTTGCTAATCCCCAAATATACAAAATGTATGTGGCGTCTTTATACAGTGGTATACGCCAAGAACTTTTTTCAGAGAGTGCAGCGGTTCAGATACCTTGGGTGCATTTGTGTAGCAAGTGGCGTCCCCCACTGCCTCCAGTCCCCCTTCCGATTCCTCACTAGCCCCAAACGCTTCCAGTTGACCACCTGCAGGCCCAGGTACGCTTGTGCCATACTAGTACCCTAGGCCGAATCAATATCCTTGGCCGCTCGCTGTGGCATATTTGCGCCTTCCCGCTCCTTGCCCGGTGAGACCCAGGCCGGGGAACCAAGCCCTTCAAGCAGTTAATCGTCACAACCAGTTGAACATGGCCCCTTCTTGCCGATAACACGACAAGTACCCTAACGCCTAGATTTTACCCGTCTTTCAGTCTCTCGATGGGAACTCGTCGCCCGCGTCTAAGACTTCATGAATGGTTGACTGAATGGGATTACTCTGAAAGCATTCTGTAGGGAATGTTTTAAACGAGGATTATCGCTCAGGTAAAATAGGCGCTGCGGGTATAGCTCGTCAGGACCGGCGGAATTGACAGTCTACTCTCCCCAGACTGGGTCGGCTTGGCAAGCTTTTCCAGGAAGCTGACGGGATCTTGCCGGGCGGCAATATGCTAACTTCAAGTTGTGAGCCGTTCTACCGTTCCCCGCATTGTTCACCTAACACGCTGCTGTTAGGTGCTCGCCGAGCGTGCTTGTACTGCCTCGGTGCTATTTCGACAGGAGCTGATACGCAATTGTAATGATGGCGTCTTTCATCGTCGGACTCCTTGCGTGTAGCATTATACTGTATCTCTTCAAAATTTGTTGTGTTGACCACCTCGTCCTCAGTCCACTTAGACAAGTCCCTGGCCCTGCTTTCTTCGCCATTACGAAGTGGCGTCTAGCTTACGAGGACTGGAGAGGTCGCCGCACTCGCACAATCGCCCAGCTGCACTCGAGGTATGGCCCAGCAGTCCGTGTAGGACCCAACGAGGTCTCATTCAACAGCCTGAGTGCGCTGAAGACAATCTACGGACCTGGAAGCCGATTCGGCAGAACATCTTTCTATCGTATGTTTGAGGTGTACGGAGAGCAAAATTTGTTCACTTTCCAGTCCTCAGAAGAGCATGGCGCACGTAAGAAGCTCCTCTCCCATGCCTACTCGAAGTCTGCCATACTTCAGGACAAGACGACCAAGGTGGTTGAAGACATGGCTCGGCGTTACATTGAGCTCCTAGACAATGAGCCAAATGGTGTTAGTGACGTCTTCCTGACTCTTCACTATTACTCCCTGGACAGTATCACCCATTTCATATACGGGAATTCCGGTTCAACATCTGCTCTGCAGGGGTCCAAGTCGCATCGCGGCCTCATATCCGATGTTATGCACCCCTCTCGCCGCAGACTGTCATGGTGCTGGGTGCATGTCCCTTCGATCACTAGATGGCTTTACTCACGCACAGGAGTCAAGGCACATTTAGTAAAGCACGTCCTGCCCATGCAGCCGCCAACGACATATACTGGCATACGGGCTTTTGCTTTACAAGCAGTCAACCAATTCAAATTGGATTGTCAAACGAGAAAGACTGGTGAGAGTAAAGACGACATCACACGATAGAGGCGATTTCAATGCTAATACGCCCTACAGTTGGCAAAGGTTCAATCATTGAGCATCTTTGGAAATATCATCAGTCAGAGCTCTCAAACGGCCTTAGTGTCACTCAGGTAGCGTCAGAGTGTGCGGACCATTTTCTTGCGGGCATAGATACCACCAGTGACACACTCATGTTCCTCATATGGGCACTTTCATTGCCCGCGAACTGGAAGTTCCAGGAAAAGTTGAGGGACGAACTCTTGGATATCCCCGAGGAATCACTCAATCATTACGGTCACCCCAGAACTGCCGCCAGCGACCGATGTACATACCTCCAAGCCGTCATCAAGGAGACCCTCAGGCTTTATGCACCGCTACCGAGTTCTGAGCCCCGTTCAGCCGACGCCACCTCTACGGTAGATGGGTACACAATTCCACCCAATACGGTTGTCTCGATGTCTCCATGGATACTCCACCGCAATTCAGAGGTCTTCGAGGATCCGTCAGTATTCGATCCCGAAAGGTGGCTGGGATCATCCGTCGCCGACCTGAATCGGTGGTTTTGGGCTTTTTCGAGTGGCGGCCGGATGTGTATTGGCATGCAGTAAGGCCCCAACAGTAATTGTGGTATTTGATACAAGCACTCGAGAGTCTAACTCAACCTAGCCTGGCAATGGCCGAGATGACAACGCTTGCGGCCACAATCTATCGAACCTACAAGACATCCATAGCTACCGGCTTTGAGAACACGACGCCTGCGATCACGGCACGGGTGGAGACATTCTATGACGAACGGTTCCGTTCTGTGCAGGTAAGTTGGAAATCTGATTGTGCTACGACACGTTCTGACCTATAATAAATAGGAGAACACTTGCTTAATTAAATTTGAAAAGTTTCGCCAATGATCGGCAGTAGCCCATGTGAACTTCAATTACCTAATAGAATATAGACATGTTTAATATCCACCTAGGTCAACGAATCTGTCCACGCACCACCTCCCCGTCCTTAGCTGCTCATTTCGCTTCTATTCCGCATACGTCTGAGGACATACATTGCGCCTTCATACAGTTGTAAACGTTCAAAATACACCGTCTGAAAAGAATACAATGCCAACGACAGTGAAAGAAGACTGGGCACGTGGCGTCAACCTCTTGGTGGGCTGATTAAGTAAGCCGAGCGGGCCAACAGGCACAGATTCGGACCAGGCACCAGTTTCCCCGTGGGGTACTGACCGTACTGTGATAGAGCCCAGCACTTCTCCTTTTCCTCCCTTCGGAACTAAAACTATTATTTACACAAAGTCTTCTTGCATCAACCACCACTCAAAGGTAGCACACGAGCAACATAATATGGATGTCGTGACTGTCCTACGTGGTTTCAAAGTCCCGTTCCCGGTACTCGACGCCTTTCTACTCGCCAATAATATCAACGAGTCCGAGCTCCTCTGTTCGGGCATTCCGCCCTTCTACGATGAGGATAATGACCAGGTTACTACCCTGCTGCGCAACAAGGTCGGCAGCGGAGACACAAAGACACGTATTTTCGTCGCGGCACGAATGGGCTACAGAAATGCGGTCAGCTGCTACATTGCATATGACTGGAAAACTGTCTTTGCACAGCGCAGATTCGATGATGTGGATCTTGCACGGCACCCTCCGGGTAAGCGTCAATCTTGATTCTGCAACGGATGTCCATCTTTCACATGATGGAAATATATTCGAAATACAGCAACGTGGAGTTAGTAGCAGGACTGATGTCATAATCAGTGGGCTTCGAGGAGCTTAGGAAGGAAGTGCTGTCGTATGTCACCGCCGGCGATGGGGTTTAATCTCCTTTCGACGACCCGCGTTACCAAAATGCCCTCTATGTCGTGATCACTGATGAGCGGACATATTTTCCAGCTGAATTGCTGCAGCGGGATGAAGCTGTACGTTATTGACTCCGATTGAAAGACCCATACCAAGATCATTGCCCTACCACCTGAGTACCCTTCACACATTCAGCTCCCCTTCTATATATACTGACCCGTTGGAAATCTTTTGAGGACATGTATAACCTACCAGATAATTTGTAACAGCAGATAGCAGCTATATGCTAAATGATCGCTGTCATGGAAGACCGGGTATATCAGAAAACTCTTGGATAAACCGAACGAGGTACAAATGGTCGATGATCATACCCTGCCAAAGTGATATCAATATATAGCGATTACTGAGGACACTTTCTTCAAACGCTGGGTCTTGAGCGTTTACCACTGTACGAAGGCGCCACGTACATTTTACATGTATGGGGATTAAAAACGAAACCACTACTGAGAACACTCATATGCGAGCAACCATTTTCTTCCCTCTAATATTCCACTTCCTCAAATCATCCATCACATCTAAAATGTTTTCCATGCCGTGTACGATCTCTGTGGGCGGTGCGCGTATCTTCCCGACCCTAAAAAGGTGCTGAGATAGTCGCAAGAAATCTCGATATGCCTTGAACAACTCCTCATCCCCAGGGATGAGTTCTCCTCGGACCCGACGAGCCTCGCCGAGCACGGCCTCCCCTCCGGTGAAAATCGACTTCACATCCTGCCTGGTAAACGGCGTGGGTGACAAAGAGTTGTATAGGCAGCCCCCACCATCGAGAGCCATCGCATCTGCGCAAATCTGAGGCGACGCAAATGCCCCCACGCAGTCAAACACCAGCCGCAGATGGCCATCTGTCACCTTCCTGATTCTTTCGGCGCAAACCTTGGCATCATGGTAGTCGAACGCATGGTCCGCCCCCATTTTCTTCACTAGCTCAAAGTTCGCAGCTGAGCATGTGGTTATGACCAACATTCCGCTCAGCTTGGCCCACTGGATGGCCATCAGTCCCGTTGTCGTGCTTCCGCCATAAATCAGGATGGTTCTCTCGGACGTTCTTGTGATATTGTTCCCCAACAGCAGAGGTTCGAGCCCAGGATCCACAACTGGAAGTGGCAACCCCATCAGATGATAGAACGCATAACACACCGTAGCCAATGCAACATTCACGCCCGCGGACTCAGCCTCACTGATGGCGTCCCCCATTTCCTCCAACCGCAGCGCCGCATCTCCTTTCACAAGAACGTACTCGGCGAATGTTCCCGCGTTTGGCTGGGGCCCAGCGCTGGGCATCGCCAAGCCTGCGATCCTGTCACCCTTCTTGAGGCCTATGGTCACAGCAGACCCAACCTCGATCACTTCACCGGCATACTCGCAGCCGATAGTCATGCCGGGCGCAAACATGATCTCGAGGTCGGTGAAGAGGTAGTCGCAGGGGTTGATTCCGACGTAGGAGGGCTTGAGGAGGACATGTGCCGGGTGTTGGGCCAGGGTGGTGAGGGCAGATGGGATGGGCACGTCGTCTAGCAATTCAGCATGTCCGAGGGATGTACCAGTCCGGATGGCGCGCATGGTGGTCTTCCCCTCCATCTTCAGCGCAGTGAATAACGTCAGAGATATAGATGTGTAACCACAATGGGCTCTTTGTTTCCTTGAAGAGGAAAAGAGGGGGGGCCCAAAAGCCGGGATGCTCGACGGCTTTAAGTAGTCCCAGTAACGACGAGAGCTCACGTCAGCTCAAAAGTGAGGTTTGTAATCGCGGGGTTGATATGGCCAGAGTAGTTTGAATGAGTTTCTGACTAACGAGCGATGGATCCACAAGGGTTACTCCGTGCCGCAGGCTAGATCTACAATGAATAATGGGCGTATTCATTGATCACCATTAAAGCTTAATTTAACAAGCTACTGGACTGAGGTTATATAGTAGTTAGCAATAGTTATAGTTAGCTATAACACACCTCTTAGAATTAATAATTATTCTTTTAATAATAATTCCTCCTTTAGTAATAAATAATCCCTAACTTTTAATTAACTTTCTTAATTATATATTTATAAATAGAAGGTAAGAAAAAAAATTAAGATTAAAGAAGATATATTATAAAATCTTTAAATTATTACTTATAAAAAAGGAGAAAAAATAGGAAATTAAAAAGTATATAAAGAAATAGACTTAAAATTAACTTTTTCTAATATTAAGCTTATCTATATATATAAAAGGATTATAAAAATTCTTTTAAATAATTTTAATTTTAAAATAAAAATAACTTATTTAAATAATTAATTAGAAGTTAGGATTATTTATTACTAAAGGAGGAATTATTAATATAAATATAACTATTAGATTTAACACTATATTACAAGTAATTTTATAGTAAAATTATAGTTCTTAATAATATTATATTATTTATTCTATTTTATAAATTCCCTATAGTATAGTTAGTTTTATTATATTAAAGAGTAGATATTTTAAATATTTATTATAATAGTTTATAAATCTATTATAAATTTATAATAAACTATTATTTAATAATAAATTTACTATAAATTAACTATTTATTATATTTTTATAGTAAACCTTAGTTTTTATATTTAATATACCTTTTAAACTAATATATTATAGTAAGTTAAACTTTAACCTTTTTCTATTACTTTTTATTTATATTTTATAGGATCTTTTAATAGGTTTAAGTCTTTTTATTAATAATTAATATCTTTTAAATTTAATTATTAAAGAAATTTATTTTATTTTTAGTTAATAATATTTTAATTAATTTATTTATTATTATCTAAGCTAATAGAGTATATTTTATATTAATAATATTTTTAAAACTTTTATTATAATTAATAATTATAAATATTTATATATTATAATTTTATTTTAAATTAAATAATTTTAAAATTTATTAAATTTATAATTTATATATTATTATATTTAATTTTAATTTTTTATTTAAATCTATTAATAGTTTTATAAAAGTTTATTTATAAATAATATTTCTTTTACTATTTATATTAAAGTAAAATTTTTACCTTAATTATTAATATTATAATTATATTTTATTTATTAACTTTCTATTTAATTATTCCTTTAAATAGTTTTATTATAAATATTTAAAAATTCTTTTAATTAATAGTATTATTAGTAAAGAAAAGTTACTTATAATTATAAATTTATTTATATTTATAAAGTAAAGAATAAGGTACTTAATATTTTTAAGATAAAAGTATTTAATTTATAATATTATAATATTTTTAGCTTAAATTTATAAAAATTATATAAGCTTTAATATAGTAAATATAATATTTAATTTAATAAATATTATAGTAAATAGTATAGATTTAATTTTTATTAATATAAATTAATTTTAATAGGTTTTATAATATTAATTTATAGTTTTAATTTTTAGTTATTATAGGGACTTTATAGGAAAGGTTTTTATTAACTATTTTAATAATCTTTTTATATATATAGTTTAAATTAATTAGATTTATTAATTTAAATAGTTTTATAAATCTTTATATTTAAAATTATTAAATTAAATTCCCTTTATTAATTTTATACTTTTTTAAAGTTATTAAATAAATTTATTAATTTATTTTTATTAGTTTTTAATATATTATAATAATATTATTAATATAAAGAAGATTAAAATATTGTTTTTATAATAATAGAGTTTATATAATATTTATTAGTATTTAAGTTTAGTAAGTATTTTTATAAATTCTTTTTATTATAGTAATAATAAGATTTATAGTTTATATAATACTTTATTAAGTATTAAAATAGTATTTTTTATAATTATAAGGTATTTTTATAAAATGTTTTAATTAATTAGAGTATAAATAAATATATTTATTATATTATATTAAATTAGCTTAAAATTAAACTTAATAATAATAATAATTAATATATAAAATAACTATTTTATTAAATTATAGTATAAGTTTTTATATTTATCCTTATATTTATTAATTCCTTTAATAATAAGTTATATTTTATACTTTTTAAAAATATTATATTTATTAAATTTATAAATATATATTTATATATAATTTAGGATTTATTTTTTATTATATAGAATTCTTTTTAAAGTTTAGTTTAGGATTTTATTTTAATATAACTTTATAAATAATTAAGTTTAATTTACTTAAATAGATTATTAAATAAATAATTTATTAAGTTTTTATATTATTTTAATATTTTTACTCTTTAATATAAATATTTTTAATTTAAGCTTTATTAAAAATATTATTATTTAATTTTATTATAAGTATTATTTTTATTTTAACTATAAATATAGCTTATTATAATAAATTTATTAAAAATTAATAATTAATAAAATTTCTTTTATTTGATTATATTTATATAATATATATTAAAAGTATTAATAATAGTAATTAAGGTAATATAAAAGTAGTATAAATTTAATATTTATATAGAAACTATTTTATTAATTTACTTTAAGTTATTTATTTTTATTTTTATATTTTTTAAATTCCTTTTTATTAAGTTTTTAAGCTTTTAATTTTAAAAAATCCTTTTTAATTTTAATATTTTATTATTATTTAAAAGTATATTTTTATTTACTTTACTAATTATTTAATATTTATAATAAAAGTTTATTAATAAAATCTTTTAATTATTATTAAATATTTAATACTTATTAAAGATTATATTTTATATATTAACTATCTTTTTAATAAAAGGAATTTATATTTAATAAATATTTCATAATTAATACTTTATAAAATAGTTAATTTAAGTTTATAGTTTTAAGTATTAATATTGTTTTTAAATTAAATATTTATAATTATTATATAGATTTTATAGTTAAATACTTTTAAATAAATTTAATTAAATTTTAAATTTAATCTTAGAATTCCTTACCTTTTAATAATAGTAGAAAATTGATAATATAGTATTTATTAATTTAAATTATAAAATAATATTTAATTATTAAGATAAATAGTTATTTATTTAATTTTTAGTTAAAAGAAGTTAATAGCTTTAAACTTATTTATAGAGTTTATATCTTTTATTTAATTGTATTTTTAAATCCTTTACTTTATTATTTTATACTTATATATTAAATATAAAGGTTTAATTTTAATATATTTTAATTTAAAATAGTTTTTAATATTTTATTTTTAATTAAATATTTTACTATTATATTTAATAATTTTAACTTTTATATTATATTAAAGTTTTATTATTTTAAAAAAGTTTAAATATTTTAAATATTATATTATTATTTTAACTTATTATATAATAATTTTATATATATTTAAATATTTTATATATAAATAGGAGTTATGAATTATAATTATAAATTTTTAATTTATATTTATAAAATTTAATATTATTTTTATTTTTATTTAAGAATTTCCTTTAATAAATAATAGATTTACTTTATAATTTTAATTAAAGTATATATTTTATATTTAATTATTATTAGTTTATAAATTTATACCCTTTAAAGTATTTATTAAATATTTTAATATTTTAAATTTAAGGTATTTAAATTATTTATATTATAAAATAGCTTTATTTATTTATAGTTTTTAATAAATATTATATACTTTTCTCTTTAAATATTAAATATAGCCTTTAATTTATAAATTAAATATTTAATAATATATTATTTATAAATATTTATAAGTTTATAGAGAATTATTTTATTTTATTTTTAATATAATTAAATTTATTTTATTATTTTAAAAGATATCTTTTCTTTAAAGTTATTTTAAAGATATTAATATAGTTAAAATTTTTAAGTATAAAGTAATATTTTCTATTTATAAAATAAATTTTTAATATAAATTAATATTATACTATATATTATAATAGGAAGTTATTAGTTATTTATTTATAAATAGTTATTATATTTAATTAGTTTTAAGTTAAATAATTTTTATAGTTATTTATAATTAATATTATATTTATTAAGTTTAATATAATTAAGTATTTTAAAAGTATTTTTATATTTATAATTAAAGTTTTTATTTTTATATTAGTTATATAATATTTTAAGAGTTATTTTTAATTTTTAATTAATTTTTTTAAAAGTTATAATGTTTTTAATTTAAATTTTAACTTTAGGCCCTTATAGTTTAAACTTTTATTTATAAGTTTATATTTTTTAAGAGTTTTATATACTTTTTTAATAGTTTTATTTTTTTAAAGTTTTTAAAAGCTTTTAAAGAAGATATAATAGTAATTTATAAGGGTATAATTCTAATATATACTTTATATAAATTAGTAAGTTTTTATTTTAAATTAATTATATTTTTAGTTTATATAAAATTTATATAATTTATTTATACTTTATTAATTAGGATTTTTTTAATAATATAAGTATTCCTTTTATTATTATAGTTTTTAAGCTATTATAGGTAATTATTTATATTTTTTCATAATTTTTATAGATTTATTTTATATATTTAAAACTTATAACTCTTTTTAAAGGAGGTTTTAATATTATAATATATAAGGCTTTTATTTATAATTTTCTACTTTTATATTTATTTAAATATAATTATTTATATTAATAGTATCCTTATAAAATTTATAATAAATTATAAATTTAAATAATAAGTTATTTTATTTTTATAATCCCTTATTAAATAGCTTTTATTATAATAATTCTTTATTAATTTATTTAAAGTATAATATTCTTTAAA